ACCCGCGATTAAGGTGTTCGATGAGCCCGATCGTCCCCAGCCTCGCCTGGACCGCAATATCTCCGGTGGGTACACTGTGAGTGTTGGCCGAGTTCGTGAGGGTGCCCCAGGCGGTCACTTTGATATCCGATTCGCCGCCCTCTCTCACAACACCGTCATTGGAGCTGCTGGATCATCCATTCTCAACGCCGAGGTTGCTGTCATCAAAGGCTACATCTAAGATAGTTAGGAAATAGAGGAAGTACTAGCGCATGTCAAATAGATACACATTTTCGTACAAATGAATTGGATTTCATTGGTCTCGATTCCTAAAAGGGAAGTCCATGTGTCTACGAGTGGATCAAGGCCCTGAGTGTTGGTGACATAAGCAAGAGTTAAAAACCCACTAGTGGAGTCTGATTGGTCTTAGTGGAGAATAGGGCTCACAACCACCACACACTAAGCGAATTCCTCTCTGATTTGCATCAACACTTCTCGGCTTGAGCATTCTCTTTCGACACTCCGACCACCTAACCTTCAGTCGACAAATCAGTCAAAATGCGCGGCCCGTAAGTGTCATGGAATTGCCTTCTACATCACTCTTCTGCACACTGGTCTCGTCTATCTGCCAGATTACGAGCTCAGCCAGTCGCTGCGAGAAGTGATCGAAAATTTCTCGAAATGGAAGACCACCACTAACAAGAATTTTCCTTGCAGCGGAAAGCACCAGAAGCGCCTCAGCGCGCCCTCGCACTGGCTCTTGGACAAAATGTCCGGAACCTACGCGCCCAAGGCCTCCCCCGGTCCCCACAAGCTCCGGGACTGCCTTCCCCTGATTGTCTTCATCCGTAACCGGTACGCATACGACAAACTGAACTTCTCGACACACGGCGAACATCCACTGACATTCTCTATGTTGACAGTCTCAAGTACGCCCTGAACGGTCGCGAGGTCAAGGCCATCATGATGCAGCGTCTGGTCAAGGTTGACGGCAAGGTCCGCACCGACACCACCTACCCCGCTGGATTCATGGACGTCATCTCCCTCGAGAAGACCGGCGAGCACTTCCGTCTCGTTTACGACACCAAGGGTCGCTTCACCGTCCACCGTATTCAGGCTGAGGAGGCTGAGTACAAGCTCTGCAAGGTCAAGCGTGTTCAGCTCGGCAAGGGCGGGATCCCATTCTTGGTTACGCACGATGCGCGAACGTGAGTTCCACACTTCACAAGTTCCGTGTCATTCAGTCGTTGGACCAAGCTTTGGTTGATCGGCGGAGGACAATGGAAACAGTAAGATCCCAATACATCAGAACATGGTTTTGCTAACTTGCGTTCGTCCTCTACAGCATCCGCTACCCCGACCCTGCCATCAAGGTCAACGACACCGTCAAGGTTGACATTGCCACTGGCAAGATCCTCGACTTCGTCAAGTTCGACTCCGGTGTTGTCATCATGGCCACTGGTGGTCGCAACATGGGTCGTGTTGGTGTCATCACTCACCGTGAGCGTCACGACGGTGGTTTCAACATCGTCCACGTTCGCGATGCTCTGGACAACCAGTTCGCTACCCGTGAGTCCAACGTCTTCGTCATTGGACAGGACAAGCCCTGGGTTTCCCTCCCCAAGGGTAAGGGTGTTAAGGTATGTTCCATTCTTCTCCACATGTGCTCACGAGTTATGCTCACATTCTTTTCTAGCTCTCCATTGCTGAGGAGCGTGACCGCCGTCGTGCCCACGAGCTCGCCAACTAAATTCACCATATCTTCTGATATTCGAGAATTAGCTGACAGCTTAAAACAAACACTTAAAACAGTAGCTGGGAGACGGCGTCTTGTCTTGCTTGACGGGCTTAGATAATGCATTCTCGTAGTTCGAACCATAGCAAACAAAACAGGAACGGGTAAACCGCTTCGTTTCCGAGTGATATGATACCATTTGATGATGCCTCTTTTTTTTCGATTTCTCTAATGACCGTAATTTTCCTATCCTTGGATCTCCAACATCACCCCACCACTTTCTGGCTGGTTAGTTCATATCTGTGCTTGTTCTATAAGTATCATCGTTTCGCAATCATCCCGGTCAATCTTGCACCCCATGAAGATCAAGGGACACGTAGGATTTATCGTCATTTGTGGTCCAGTATGAATTTATCGCAACCCCAGATCCCACTCCGACGCGAAGCCTGCTCGCTAATCTAGCTCGTTCTTCAAACCTAAAGCCACTGCGCACTAAAAACCAGGCCAAACCCCACTCAAGCCGTTTCAAGCTGAGACCCAGCATCTCAACAGCACAGAAGATTCAAGACATGCATTTTCCCGCCCAGAAATATATAGCCTATATGCTCATCTCCGACGTAATCCCGGTTGCTGGAATGGATCAATCCATAGAACCAACACACCACCACACCTCAGCTGATCCGATGCAACCGTCCTCCCGTGTCGGTGTACATAGTAGTACCCGTGGGCAACGCACGGGAAACACGGAGATTACCAAGTTTTCAACCTCCAAGCTTGAACCTGGCGATCAGAGTAACAAACTTCAGAGTGGATCTTCTCGGCGGGTGTTCAAATTAGCAGGCTCACGCAATCTCTTTGACTTTCGTCCAGGCAGCCCGGGTGGCCCGCTACAGGAGAATGATCGTCACCTGCAGAGGTCGGTAATGGCGATCGGTGGCGATCACGGTGGTGCCAGAGATCTCGCGGCCCAATTGATGAGTATCAATCGGGATCTCATATCCACATGCCGTGTGATCTAAATTGAAGGATGTCCGGCATTGAGCTCATTCGATGCTGGATGTATATGTAGATCGTGGGTGCCGGACAGGGGTATTTGTGGACGAAATTAGGGGCATGTCTATGTTGTATATCGACGGTGCTACTTGTTGCCGGGTACGATAGCGAGCACTGGGCAGAACCAGCAGGTAGAGCGAGGGCGAAAGGCCAAGAGTCTAAGAATAACTCCTTTCATCTCCGGCGTCGGATTGGGAATGCAAGCTCTCATTCTCTATCGGGATGGGCAGTTCTTTTAAAGTTGAGCGGGCTTTTTGAAGGAGCAATGGCTTCATAAAATGGAGGAACGGGATACGTTTAATAGATGCAAACTCAATTCTAGTACTCGGCCGTCCCACGTTCGGAACTCCATTCGGGATACTAGGGATATGTTCTCCGTGTTCCAAGCGCCATACTGCTGGAACTCTGCACGACAATAGCCGTGAAATTCCTGACCTGTCATTTTATGCAGCGTGGAGAGAGGTGAGCTGGCCATTGCCGGGGTTGGGAGCAGTAGTAGGGTAGATATCCAGTGGCAAGGGGGATCTTGCCTTGATTTCAGTGTATTAACCGTGCCAAGCGCCCAACCACCCATCCTGGCAACTACTGCATTCTAGGTGGCTGGCTGCGCTGGCCAGTTTATCAGCCTGTATCATTGAAATTTGAAATATGAGCTACAGACATCGGAGTCTGTATTTGGGGGATGCAGAACAATACGTTTGTACAAGATTCTTAAGCGGGGACACCCTGACTGTTGTGTACTTTGGTTCACATGCACAATCGATCAATCGAGCTCGTATGAAGCGTCGATCTAAGACAACAAAAGTGAAGTCCTGGTGGAAGTCCAAGGTGCACAAGATGTCTTTCAAATTACAGCGAGTCATGGGGCATTTTTTTGCGTGTCGGAAATGCAAATCCCGGGCCTAGAACTTGCTCGTACTGCACTCCGTAGTGGCTCGAGCAATCTCTGCATATGCTGCACTTCCAATTATTGTAGATGGAACCTTAAGGGGGAAAAAAAAACAAGGGAAATTCCAGCTGCGAAACCTCCTATCATCCCCTTTTTTCTTTTTTTTTTTGGAAATGACATCTATAAACTTTGGCGTGGATCTACCGAGACCCATCCCAGTCCCAAGGAACTGGGCTTATGGGGAGAAACTTGATGGGAACGATTGGAACTGATTGGATTGGAGAATATCCCCATCGTAGAATTAATTCCATTGTAGATTTTACAACCGTTCCTCTCTTAAGAAAACCAACGCCCGCAATGCGGTGGAGATAGGTTCTCACGGCACCGGCAGTGGAAATGTCGGTGGATCTTAATGAATGTGGATACTAGGGAAACTAATGTGCCAATCCTTTTAGGCCTGAGACGCTGAACATCAAACCTTGTCGATGAGGTCTAGCGGTGTACGGAGTACATAGTAAGCAACAAGTAAGGCTAGGAATGTTCCAAGGTCCTATTTCAGGTGAATCTAGTTTTTTAATTGAACGAGATAAATTCTAGGATCTTTTTGTGTGATATTCTAAGATACAAGGAGGTAAGGATAGATAATGATGTCTGTATATAGTAACGGTGATCATCGTACCGATTGAGATCACAGGGTTCCTTACTCCTCAATTGGAAATTTGCCTAGACTTCGGTGCTTATATGCTTCATTCCATGAACATGGTTCTGATGATTCTCGGCACGACGGGCAAATTGCAGACTTCCATCAAATCAAAGAAACGTTCCAAAGTGTTCCAAGGTGTTCCATTCGAATCTGAAAATATCCTCTGATCGTCGAGACCCCACATTGGCATTTTTACGGCCACTACGTTAGCGCCCATTTTGGTGTACATGGGGCCTACCCTTTGGTCATTTGCGATGTTGAGTGGAGAGATACGGAATTAATCTGTCTCTCATCTATCCCAGACTACTCCGTTCTTTGTTCCACCCTGGACTAACGGGGCTTCCCGATTCGAATCTTTCCAGAATAATCTTTCAAGGAGGTTGACCGTTTCTCAAAAATCCTTTAGGCAAAGAGACTTTCCACTTGTCATATTGTTAACCCAGCCAAATCGTTCCCTTTCTGCAGCCCAACGGCCAACGGGGTGTTCGGCATAACAATCTCGGCAACCAGCAGAGAAGCCCAAATTGTAGATCTCTTTCCTTCAAATGGAGTTCACCAATATCTCCCCGATCTAGGGCCCTCGGAGGCCTGGTCTTGGAGTCCGAATCGGGAAAGCTCCCTCATCCCCCAATGTACTCCCAATGACGATGCCTCCCCCCTCCTTGGTGCCCGATGGCTCTGCCCGCCAGAAGCCTTCCAACAGCCTGGGAACTGGGATCAGTGCCCCGGTTGTTAATATGCCCAGAGTTCGTGACCCGTTTTCAACCCTCGTGATGTGTCGAACGTGGCGGAACAAGTGACAGGGATAAAGGAAATCCATCGGCTCTGGTCTGATGTTTAAAACCAATCACCTTCACCTTTCCAAGTAACCTGCCTGTTTTTATCGGTGCGGTATTTAGGTATTTTTCTATTTCTCGTACACATCCGGAGTACTCCCACTGTACTTGCTCCTTCTCTCGCGTCTAACATACACCTCTTGTCGGGGTATCCCTGCCATTTAATCACTCTATTCAAGCGCCGTGTTACATGAGCGTCAGACGTGTACTGTGACTAATGTGTTGGCCGTGCTTTCTTTTCCCGATGGTGATCGCTTAAATGCAATCGACCAGCCCAGAAGAATCAGCTTTTGAACCGCCTCCCCAGACCTTTTCCACTCAAGGGGATAGGCATCTTTCGCTACAGAAAGAGACCATGTCGGCTCAATCTAGCTTTACGGCCTTAGACTGGGGGCTTCCTACCCGTCAATCTTCCATCTCAACTTGGAGATCCCCGCCTTTTCCGTGCCGTATCGTTGGTGGGAAGACGAGGCGACAACTGTGTTATGGGCATTCGACATCCAAGAAATTCGCCGTGTGATTCAATTCGGACTTTTTCGCGACGAAAATTTCCCGAGGAATTCTCTGAGCGCTCGGACGGTGTACACCGTTGACAGGTTTTTGGTCGCGCTAGCCAAGCCCCATGAGTATCAGCTCCTTGGGAACCTCTCACACATACAGAGAGTGGAGGAGATCCTTCGCCGGTCGAGTATATCTCCGTTCCAGCCGATCCCCTGGATTTGGCTCCCGCCACAATCAAGCCCTACTCTAGATGCGCGGGAAATTGCTGCTGCGATTGAGGCCGAAAGTCATTTCCACTTCAAGCAAATCGCCTTTGAAGAGTTTGTACGTGCTGCTCTCGGATACAAGGCTATCTTCGTCGAGTGGTTTTTGCAACAGCATGCGACTCTTTATATCATTCTCCAGGACCATCTGAGCGTCTACGTGGAAGACATTCCGCTATACATAGAAGTGGAAAAGGTACGTCAATTCCAGTTTACTCCGCTAGAGCCATTATGACATAGATCTCAAGCTCACTTCTACAGCACCTACGGTCGCGGAGTCCATTCGCACACCGAGCGCTGGTCCAGTGCCTTCTGGCTGTGCGACGTGGCGGGAGTCGTGACATGTCTAAGCCCAACACCGCTGGGTTTGAATTTATCGCAGGCCCTATTCAGGCCTTGTTCAGGGACCAGCCAGGAAGGCTTACTGCCATGCTCAAGATTTTGAGCGTCTTGGCATTTCGATTTCGCCGACAGTATATTCATGCTCCTACCATGGATTGGAAGACTCCATTTGATACCTCTACTTTTTTCCTAGACGATTATCTCGAGTCGACCTCTCCAAAAGACTTGGCTCGCAGCATGAGAGGCCTCGATGAGCACAATTTTGCCGAGTTGACCCGACAACGCTCAATACCAGAGGATGATGTCATGAGACAATTGGTGGCTCATTGGCACACACTAAGCATTTCGATTTGGGAATGCTGCACTGCACTTCCGGACCTGATTCCGTATCTGCAAGAATGTGCACAGGTGAGTAGCCTTCGCTCCCAAAATCGCGGAGACCCCCACCCCCCCACTGTCAAATTTCGCTAACCAAATCAATCTCTGGACAGTCCCTCATCACAACACGTAATTATAATTCTCTCGCGGCTATCATCAAAGGCCTGCACACTTATACAATTTGGACATCATGCCCTGCCAGCGCAGGCAGCGTTCAAGGAAACGCGATTACACTCGAGACTCTGATTCCACGGGAAATCATCTCTCTCATGAGCCCGGCTGATGACTTTGCCGCCTATCATCAGTACTACCAGAAGTTTCCGGGACTTCCCTTCCTAATCGCTCACACCCGCCATCACAAAAGAAACGGCGAATCTGTGCTTCAGCCGGTGTTTCAGTATCTGCAAAGCACCAAATGAGTCCACAGAGCTAGTCACCAGATCAGCAGCCTGCCCCGGCTCCGACTCAGGCGAGGGAACAAAAAGCAACATGTGGAGCACCTCGGCATGTGTTTGGCTTGCCTGGCTGCAGGAAGCAAGACCGCCCCACATGGGCCGTGGGCTAGAATTTGTTTCCATTTTTGGTCTCTTTGGTCAGCGTCAGCAGCTAAAACAGTGATGGTGTGTTTGACTTGGCAGTCTTACGATGGGGTAGATGATCTACACCAGATGATGACTTCATATCTATTTTTTATGATCTGTATTTCTACTCTGATACCCCATGCTCGCATTAGGCAGTACCGGGGGGTCCGGCGTTGCATTATGCTAATATGAATATAATCGTCCTATTTTACCCCCAGTAACATTCATAGTTCTATCAACACTTGCATAAAAGTAGACCCTTGTTAGAGCTGAAAATGTAACCAAATCAGCCAGTGTCGTCCATAATCTCCAACGCACTCAAGCAAATCCAATCACATCAGCAGATCCATCCAGTCGCATCTCGCACATGCTCCGATCTCTCTAATGTGCTGATCAATGATCTACAGATCAGATGAAGCCCCTTTCCATCCAAAGAGCCGCTTCAGGCAAGAGCAATGCCCAAAAGTAAACCATGCAGATGTGCTGTCCCACGCAAAAGTAAGGGAGAGAGAAAGATAGGGGTAAGCCAATGACCCAGTACAACATTTCATTGCTTTTTTTTGGGATCTAACTAGAAAAAGACAGAGTGCATATGTTGGTCTGGCCAGCCTAAGGAGCGGGTCATACCTTACTCTCGTTTTGCTGCCGCCTTAGGCGCTTTCGCATATCCAAAAATGCCCAAGAAATAAGCGATCCTATTGAGAAAAAGGAACGTCGTGACTCCGATGTTACCCCAGGTCAGAGCATTCCATCCTGCAACGTCTGCAAACGCGTCCCAGCCCATCCCCAAGTATGTGGCGTAGACATGGCCTACATCAGCGATGGCTAGCCCAATCAGGTAGTTGTGGAGTACCCTTGGCTCCGTTGTCGCATGACAAACTCCCACGCCAACTAGGAAGAGGAGTGAGTAGAGATTGCCGAGTTGGTAGGCGAGCGCGATGCTGCTTGGGTGCAGAGTGGCCGGGGCTACGATGGTGGGTGTTTGCCCAGCAATAAAGCCTCGGAGGTCGTAGACAGGGAAGACACTACCGAGGGCCCTGCATAACGAACGGTAGGGTCAGTGGGATTCTTGCATGGTTGGGGGAAAGGGTGAGCTGGTCGTACAGTGAGATCGGCTCCAGGACGCCAAAGAGGATATGTGGCCACGTTGGGAAGATTGTTGGCATTCTGGGGACCTGTAGTGTTCATCGTTACTCTTAATTGTGTCCTCTCAAATAATGTACAGCAAAAATTCACTCGGAGCGATCTGCGTAAACAAAGCTCACGGGAGCTTTACTTCGGCGGAGAGGAAGGCAACTCACGTTTAGTTGCTGACCGATATATATGAATATCAAGTGTATCAATTGTATGATAAAACCTGATCAAATCAATGAGCAAAAGTCCAATAGGAGATCCTTGAAGGGGGATTGCCAGGAGATCTCAACACCTGGGCAGAATGCTTAGCAGCTGACGTAGACCCCCGGGAACCCGCGTTACTGGGACCCGTCACCGCCCGTTTCCGTTATCGCACGGATCTTATCAGTTCATCTTCTGAACCCCCCAAGTCAGTCATGGACGCAATACGTCAGTTACATCCAGGATGATATGCAATCTGTGATAGCTGGTCGAAATGGAATCCGCGAGTGCATTGCGGCCTCTTGATGAATCACTACTCCGTGAACTCCCTCAACTCTCTCTCCGTATCGCCCCTCTGCGAGAACCAGTATCATCACGAACCCTAAGCGTCCCATCGCCCCTCGAACCTAATGCCAGTGGAGCACGGGACTCGAAGAATATCCCCAATTCAAATAGCAGTATTGGAAAGATCCCAGCAAATGCAAGTTCAGGCCTGCCGACAGTTACGGAATTTTTGAACGCTGCGCGCATCAAGAAAACCGAACTCTCAACAGACTCACAATCAAACGTGGAACGTCCCCCGAGGCCGATACTTCCTGCTTTTGTGAATCTCCGTGCCCTGGAAAAGTTTCCATTTTCATCATCATTCGACGACGATGCCCTCCAAGGGCCCCGCAAGCGTCAACGCCGAGACCCCCAGGCTGATTCATTCAGCGAGCATCTACAGCTGCCTATCCCTCAGGCCCAGAAGGAGCAGCGGCCTCCTCCATTTGGGCCTTTTGCTATTCTAAATGGATTGAATGAGCCTCCGCCCAATGCTGCCCTTCTGCCACCCATTGAGGCTGAGTCTAGTATCTCCCAGCTTTTGACTAAGCCCTCGGGAGGCGATGCTGCTATTGACACTGGAACGTTAGTTTCGGCTCTAGTCACGGTCCTAGATGGCCAGCCTGCGGAAAAGCGAGATACTAGACTTGAAGAAATACTCAGAACGTCTCTCAATGTGGATGAAAACGAAGACAATAATGATAATCATGAAAAATTTGCAAGTGCTAACCCAGTGGATCCCGATGAGATTATCATAGCTGTTCGTGAAACAGAGATATCTAAGAGCAGCAAGGCGTCGCCACTCCTTCCTGCACAAGATGTGCCCATGTCTCCTAAGACTCGCGGCCGATCCCGTAAAAACCTGAGAAAGTGGACCGAAGAAGAGACAACTACTTTACTTAGGGGAGTGGTCAAATGTGGCATTGGCAACTGGAAAGCAATTCTCGCTCAACCGGAACTGGAGTTCAATCAGCGAAGTGCCTCAAATTTGAAAGACAGGTACGCTCGGTTCTTGGTCAACTATATGGTCTTATGCTAAAGCTTCGCTCTGCGAAAGATTCCGAGTCTTATGTCCATGGGCGTACCGGTAAGCAATGAGAATGCGATGAGAATGCAACTCAATCAGTAGGGCTAATATTACCACAGCGCATCCGATCCCAACGAAGCTGCGAAACAACTACATGACACTCTCGCGTATACCCTACTCAAAGCCAAAGCAGAGGGCTTTGACATAACACCTGACAAAATCCAGCTCTCCCATCTAATGCCCTCCATTCAAGGCTTAGAACCAAACTCGGGAGTAGGAAGTCCGGCTCGCAATCCCCCCAACCCCTCCATATTGAGTACCGTCTTATCTACGCCCGACGCAGATCCCGGCAGTAGTAGCATTGCCCAATCGCAGTCACCCTCGTCAGGAAATTGCATACCCGCTCTCTCAAGCAAGTCCCGTACAACCCTCGCATCTCTTGGAATCCCCGAACCACACGTCGCAAAATCCAAACGTCGTTCTCGGCGACCCTTCACAACCGTCGAGGACGAAGCCCTCCTCAAAGGCTACGCAGTGCACGGCTTCCAATGGACCCTAATCCAGCAAGATTCGCGGCTTAATCTAAGACACCGCAAAGCGACAGATCTCCGCGATCGCTTCAGAACCAAGTTCCCACACGCGTATCGCGACGGTGGCTCGGTGAGCGGAAAAGCCCTCAACAACCAAAACCAGGGCCAGGAGGCGAGGACCGGTGCGTCGACCCCCCGCTCACATCCTGCCAGCTCCGAACAATCTCCAAGCAAAGCCTATGCCATGACTCCGACTCCAACTCCGACCCCAGCTACCACGTCCCGTAACTTGGTATCGAGGAGTCGGCAAGCTGCTACCTCTTCGCAGTCCAATCTTGCTCAGATTGATCCCGCACTCTTGCCCCCGCCTCCGCAAGGCTTTTTGGAGCACTCGATGTATCTTCCACCTGCTGCTGCGGGTGTGCTTTCTTTCTCTTTGGATGATGGATCCGGAGCGGGTCCTTCTTCCGCAGTGGAGACACCGTGGGAAGACAACACCCTCGCTCCTATGATTTGGGATTAATTCCCCTAATCAGGTGCAAGCTGTAGGCACTGGAAGCAAGGGAAAATAAAAGACATCTTCTTTTCCTATCTGGTGACGGTGATACAAGCAATGCATGTCACGAATTTTGGGGGTTCTTTTGTTTCTCTTTCTCGTCCCAATCTCGTTTCATCGTCTTCTTTCTGCTTTGCAATTTTGGTGCTCTACGTCGTCTTTTCTTTTTCTCCGGTTTGTTTCCATTGTTGGTCTATATCCCGCAGTACACGATGGTTTTTGCTGCAGCTTTTATTTGATGAAAGTTTCCTTTTCGCAGTTTCATGTTATTGATAATCATATTGACATTAAGGAGAGATGCAACAAGTTTGGTCTTACCACTGTGTATTAAGATAGGAAAGACAGGATCAAACTAGAAAACAGTGATAAAATTGATGGAAGAAGGAAAATCAGGCAAAGGCGCCTGTCCATTGAAGATAACAAAGAAAATCTGTACTTGCTTGTATCTACATCTGATTGACAATCTGATTGACAAGATAAAAAGAAGCTGTGGAGTCGGATATCAAATGAGAATAAAAAAAAAACTCAAGCAATGGTCGTCACATAACATCCACTGCGGGTACCCATTTTCAATCGCCAAGTATGTTTGCCGTGGAAGGGATGTGAGGGTGAAAGAGTGGGAGAAAAAAGACGATGGAGATAAAGATGTGCAAGGAAATCTGAACAGGTCGAATGCAAAGCCCAACCAATCCTGAGAATTGAGGTATGCTTCTTGTTAATAAATTAATGGTGAAGGCAATAATAATCATCTACCACGCATTGCGGTCCCAGTTGGGATCTGCGGAATGAGATTAGCACACGTTCAACAGTATTCCGAGTAAGTAGAATGAACCCACCTTGTATGTAGCTAGCAAGCACTTTACTCCCCGTCTGCAGAAGAGGGTGTCCGGCGACAATCTGGAGGAAGCGCTGCAGACCCTCGCGGCGGTGCTCAATGACATCGTCGCTGAACCGGTTGGTAAAAACCTTCCCGGGGAGTGGGGGTATCGTGACGCGCGTGCTTTCGCGCTCCAGGATATCACGGAAATACTCAAAATCGGAGTACCGACGGCGCACGACGGAGTGTTTCAATTTGAAGGCGGGGATGTTAGTCCGGCACACAATCTCGTACGACGTGTACATGTTGCGAGATGTGCCATGAGTTTGGGGATTGCGGACCTGTAGTAGCAGTTGTTAGCCTGGGGGTTTGGTTCTCTGTGCCCGATGGGGGCGTGGTGATGCGGGTTTTGAGTGGGGGCTGATTAGGGGAGAATTATGGGCACGAGACTCTAGGGTATCGGGGTAGACGATTGATTCGAGTGTGGGCATAGGGCATTTTTGCATTGAGTTACTTACTTCTATCTCGAGGAAGTTCTCCGGAGGTCCGTAGATCTCCTCAAAGGACTGCTGTCGCGATTCTGGGACGGACTGCATCGTGGTGGGGTTGGGGGTGATGCGGAGGGACAGTTGAGGGGACGGTTGAGCCGGCTTGTATAGCGTGGATGCTCAAGTGAGGTGTTGCGTGTGGGATATTCAATTAGACAGCCTGTCTCACTCTAATTCCTTGGAACTGAACACCACAGAGCAGATCCCAAAGAACCCGAACTGGGAAGTTGGAGAAGCATCTCTATCAGCGAGGACCGGGTAAACAGTTGATCCGCCCTTTTTGGCTTATCTTCCTGACAGCCTTCAAATTTTCCCCATGTCATCCATCTCATCTGCGGAGTAGCAACATTGAACTTTATCTGCACAAAAGCTTTAGACGGAAGTCTTCAAAAAAGAGACTAAATTATGTACAAGGGGCCTACTGCTCTTATTTAATACAATTCAAAAGGTGTATACTCAAAGACTATTCCGCAAAACTAATAACACACCCTACTTGGCTGTGAGTAAGTTTACCCAATGCTCCAACTCAAACCGATTGACTTTCCTTCTCTCCTTCTCCCTCTCTTTGAATGTTTTTGGGTGAACAGCTCAATTCAAATCAGCCTTCTCTACATAGACTCCTAGCTGAACTCAGTTGGTGAAAGAGGAAATATGTCGCACCAAAGTTCAAGCAATGGTGTCTATATACATTCGACGACATTATCTGAGGACGTTATCTTCTTTTTTTTTAAAAAAAAATTCTTTCTGTATTGACTATTCTAGAAAGATTCTTAAAATATGGCAATTGTAGGTATTTTTGTCTAATGAGAAACTTCAACATCTTCTGCACATTCTCTAGAAAGCCACGAATACATTGCCATTCAAGGCAGTCCTCTGACCAAGCATATGCGAAGGAAGAGTCTAGGGCTATTAATAAGAAAGATCTTGATGATGATTTGGAGGATACGGTGGATGCTATCTGCGCCATTTTTGCAATGAATTTAGTTCAGAGTCTCAAACGGGAAGCCACCCAAAGCGTACCGCCAGAATTACGTCATTATAAACATCACAACGCCTGGGATTATCAACTGTAGAAAACAAAATTGACGGCTAAGTCAAAAATAAAATATCTATTAAACCTATCTCTCTGCATTTATCAATCACGAGGGGGCTTCAATTTTGTCATAGTGAGGAGGCCTGGTTAAGAGTTTTTGTCAAAAAAAGAGGCAAAGGGTTTGGCAAGCTGCTTTCACTTCCCCGGTGCAGCTATATTCATACATTATATGCAGATGCCAAAGCTCGAGAAACATGTAGCACTGGCTTCTACTTTCCTGCAATAATATATATGCCCATGTAGGGGTTTAAAAGGGTGAATTGAGTATTGTGTTTGCGGGAAACAATGTGATCCAATCACACCAGAGCCACAGGGCTGGAGCGGATGACACTAAGCGTCTGATACAGCTAGAGGCAAGTTTACAAACGCAGAGCTTAGTCCGGGAGGGGTGTGTTCTGAATTCAATCTTTTGGCTTTTCTATGGCGCTTATTGCAGACAGTGGGTAATTTGCCAACGGTGCATACTCATTATAACGCAGCGGTCCTTGAAGGGAATGACCATTGCACTGGAGAGCAACTCCTGTCAGAATATGTGGTATGGCGGTGCTCGAAGACCAATGGAAGTCAGCATCGGCGTTAAGGCTCGGAGTTAATAGGTGAATGACATAACCCAAATCCAGCGGGCGTCCGTGACCGAGGTTGGGACTTATCTACAAGTTATGTATCGATAAGCATCATATCTCCTCATTTCACTACCGCAACGATACACTATGAGTTCAAGGACGCCCAACAATGGGAGAGAATCTCCAACGGGCTCGGAAGGGACCTGGCACCCTGCACGCGAATGGTTGGAAGAGGATGAGGTTGATGCCGAATATCACCCCGCGCTAGAGCCGTCGGAGCACGATGGCTCATGGGAGGACGACATCTCCAATGAAGATGAGCAAATGGGCTCACGGGCTGTAAATGGTAAGACTAAACTTGAGGCCCTCAGAATAGTATGCCAATGGACTAATCGCCTCTTTGTGACAGAAAATACTCGCATCAACATCGGAAACATCCGGATCCAACTTATCACAGACGATTCGCAGAGCGAGGGTACAGACGATCTGAACGAGAGGCACGCCCGTGGTACGTTTTTTCTGGAAACCCTTGAAGAATATATATACAAACGCTTACAAATTACAGTACCGGCTTCCCGGTTGTTCGAGTTGCTTGCATCTAGTGGTTTGCAACATATCCTCCAAGCCAACGGCTGGCCGGCAGCAATGGAAGAAGAACAGGAGCAGTTTGAAGATGAAGACGATGGGTTAAGTGACGAAGATTTCATTCCCATCTTCCGAAATCGCCTCGGAGCCAGACGATCCGCAGAAAGCGTCAAACTTCCACCGGTTCCTAACCCAGAAGGCAAGAAGTTGATGGGCGAGGGCCAATTCGGAACTGATCCGTTCTACGGCGACCGGCTCAGGCAGCGCAAGAAATCTCTAACGACAAGCCTTATGTGGCGAGAACTAGGAATTGATACTGATGGAGTGCAGAAGAGAGCCGGCCAATTTATCTTTCAGGTAGGCCTAGAGTATACTCAGCACTTGGAGATTACATTAATGACCAGGACTAACACAGGCGCTTGACACCTAATAGAGCCTCATTCCATGTTCGACTGCGGACAGGATCATTCACTATGACACGCGAAGTTATTCAGGCCAGTTCTCTGATGATGGGAATTTCTTTTTCTGCTGCGCACAAGACTTCAAGGTTCGGATGTACGACACATCCAATCCGTACGATTGGAAATACTATAAAACCGTCGATTATCCATTCGGTCAGTGGACTATCACCGATGCAACATTGAGTCCCGACAACCGCTTCCTTGTCTACAGTTCAATACGAAGTCAGGCATACATGGCCACCACAGACCCAGAGGACGATTCAGATCCCACTATTTTAGATTTATCTGCTCCTCCGGGCCAAAGGAGAACACAGGGCTGGGGCGGTTCGCACTTCGGGGTATGTGAAGTGATGTTTTAGTCAACATTTCAATAGCTGATTTGGTGCATGTTTAATAGATCTGGTCTCTTCGATTCTCTGGGGATGGACGTGAGGTTGTTGCTGGCACTTCAGAAGACTCGGTCATCGTTTACGATCTGGAAACACGACAGCCAGTTCTAAACCTCCGAGATAGGCATCAACATCATGTCAATGCTGTATGCTACGGAGACACATCGTCGCCGCACATCTTGTACTCCGGATCTGATGACACGACAATCCGGGTTTGGGACCGACGGTCAATGGGCGACGGACGTGAAGCCGGTGCTTTTATGGGCCACACCGAGGGACTAACGTACGTGGATAGCAAAGGCGACGGTCGATACGTCCTATCAAATAGCAAAGACCAAACGATGAAGCTTTGGGATCTGCGGAAGATGATGACGTCCGCCGATGTCGAAAACATCGACCCCGTCGACTACACAACCGGCTTCGATTACCGCTTCGAGCAGTACCCAGACCAGTTTCGCAGAATCGCCAAGAACGACTGCTCTGTTGTTACATATCGGGGCCACCGAGTCCTCAAGACCTTGATCCGCTGCCACTTCTCGCCACCGGGAAGTACAAATTCACGCTATGTTTACAGTGGGAGTGAGGATGGCAAGGCTTATGTGTACAACTTGGATGCCACACTAGCCGGAATTATTGACGTTGGTCAAGCAACACTTAACTCTCGACCGCGCGATTCAGATGCCTACGCTACAGCGTATGAGATGAGTGGGGAGATGCTGTGGAGGACTTGCGTTCGCGATGCAAGCTGGCACCCGAGCGCGCCGGTACTAGCAGGTAGGAACTATGTCCCGGAACACTGGTTTCAGTGGGGATTGCTAACCCTCTGTCTAGCAACTTCCTGGAACGGCTGGGGCTTGTCTACTGGCACCTGCACTGTACATTCTTGGAATGCCGGTGCTACTAAAGACGAGGGTGATCCACCCGTTGGGAAGAGTTATGATGATAAACTACGGTACATCCCTGAGTTCGATCAATACCGTGAGAACGCATCGAATGCTCGACCCAGGCGTCCATTGCGCAGTCGGCCTGTTCGTCGATGGGCGGGTGATGAGGTAGCAGAAGACACAATCTGGTAGCTGCAGGATGATTGTTCTTTTCGGACCAACCAAAGCATTCACAGTTGGCTTTGAGTGTGTAAATCGTGGGCGTCTTTGTCTTGTGTCTTTGCACAATACATACTCGGTAGTCACATTTCTGTGTACGAATGCAACATGTCATTTCGTCCGGTCTACCACTGTAGGTATGATCCCGGGCCGTTCAAAAGTCCAAAATCACGAAATTGAAGATGAAAGAAATGCTTGAAGGGTGTGAATTAAATGTCAAGGACCCCTATTGATACATCATGCGGAAAAAGGTGGTATCTCATAGATAGCGATCATGGTCTTCCGCCTATCGCTTGCCAAAAAAAAAGCGCCTAGTGACTGATGTTGATCGCCACTGAAATTCAAATCGTAAAAGGAAAAGGGCTCTGCAGTGTAGGAAGGCTGGCAGTCCAGGATTTTTCGGGGAATCCCGCGGGGTAGGTCATGGTGTTTAGGCGAGCTGATGGAGTGGTGTCCTTTATGCCGATACCGATACAGCCCTTATCGCGCTCCATCTCTTCCTATCTGCCAGATTTCCCTATAACCAACTGTTTCCATCTCTCTCAACTTGTCAGATAGATCTGAGCATCTGCTGGGGGTGCTTCTCCCTTAGGCGCCACCGACCAGCACCTGGTTGACGGGGATGTGAACTATAACAAGCACGTTAGTACATCAATGTATGCAATGAACATGTGCAGACTGATATCCCGCATTCTAGAACACTTACTCAGCTTGACGAAGTAGCCAATGGCTCCCTATCGGCGATGTCAGTTATTCCGCCTTACACTGTGATCCAGGGGTTGCCACAATGGTACATACCATCACAAGGAAGCCCATGCCAACGGCCTGACTGATCTTAATGAATTCACGCTTGTCGGCTATTGAAAAAGTCAGCGTTTTCCAGGAACTCAGGAACTCGCGACATGGCTGCTGATCGACATACGCTTGGTGCAGCGGCGAACAAACTGGGAACCCTCTCGGATAAAGTCCTTAGGGATATCCGCAAGCTCTTGGAAAGTCTCAGACATGATTGCAAAAATTGAGAGAAATGAATAGATTGAAAAGAGCTTGGAGGAATAAAAGTTTCAACAAATGAAGAAGAACAGGTGGTTTCTCCGGAAATGACCAATTGGCCTCTCCGGGGACTGGAGAATGGAGAATATTTGTTCCAGCTCCAAGGTCTGGCCCGCTCTGGTTCATCCGCGCGATTACATCGCCATCGCTCATCGGCTTCCGGTTCCAGCTACTGCTATTGTTGTCCTCAAGATAGTGAACTCGGAAAGCCCTTAAGATCGTGATTGAGCGGATCCATTGCTCGGCGTTCGCGCGTTACCCTCCCCCCCCAAAAAAGTCATTACTACCTACCTTCATTTCCCTTGTTTTCACTGCCTGGACTCCTGTTCTCTACCCTCATCCTTTGCTCATTCGTCACTTGCTGCCTGTCTGTGGCGGTCTTCTTTTCTCTTTTCACCCTTCTACTCTGTATCCGAAGATTCGCGGAACAACTCTGATTCCCATTCTCTGTACACCGCGTCTGCAGCTCGCGCAAGTCTTGTTTCTACCAGAAGCGCTTTCTTCGCTTCGGATTGTACGTATTGTCTGGCCTTTTTGCTTTCATGTCTGTCCTTCCTATGTTATCCTTTGGGGGGAATGGCCAATTTTCCGTCCGCCTTACCTGTGAGGACTTGGTCCAACGGGCTGTTGGGAGCTAGTACGGGAATCGCGCTACCCCTGCACTGATTGCGGTTGTGTTTTTCGTGATGCTTTTCTCAATGCTAATTGATGGCTTATGTCTGCAGACATGCACTTTTCTTGATTTGCTCAGAAGCGGAAAGGATCAAGAAGAAGGGCCTGTACTATCACACATCAGATACTCAGGCAATTTCAATCATTTCTTTGAGGTCCAGTCCCCTGAAGAGGATACTAATTTAGTTCGCAATGGCCACCGACGACGATAACTTCGACATTGACATCTACGGCGATGGCACTTACAATGCCAGTGAGCCCGGAGAGTTCAAGCCGGAGGATTCTGAGCTCGTTCTGGATGCTCCCGAGAACCAGCCTGAGCCCAGTACCGGATCCACCAACACCGCCAAGAATGAGAACCCTCCTGCCACTCAAACCCAGCAGGTGAACAACCATACAGCTCAATCGGCCCCTCAGCAACAGGCACCCCACCATGGTCTGCCTGCACCCCCTCAGGGGGTCAAGCGAAAGGAATACGAGGATCAATCTGTGGACCCGGATGCTACGACTGCGTTGCTGATCTCCGATCTCTCCTGGTGGACAACCGATGACGACATCCGAGGCTGGGTGAACCAAGCCGGAGTCGAGAACCAGCTCAAAGATGTGACCTTCAGCGAGCACAAAGTGAACGGCAAGAGCAAGGGGTAAGAACATCCTACCCTCGGTTGCAAAAAAAAAACCACGATGTCGAGCATTGACACTGACATCTTTCAAATTCCTTTTAGTCAAGCATTTGTTGAGTTCTCGACCGCGAAGGCAGCGACTGCAACAAAGCACAACATTGAAAGAAACGGTGGCCCCGCGCGTAAGCACACCGTGCACTACACCAGCCCCCACCAAAACCCATTTAAGACTCTGCCTAAGGATGCCCCGATGCGCAATGCTGGCGGCCGCGGCGGCGGGGTTGCCCACAACACCGGTGGAACCCCCAACTACGGCATGAACAACCACGCCGGTGGCGGATTCCGTGGTCGAGGCGGCTTCAACAACCGTGGCATGGGTGGTAACATGAACAACAACTTTAACAACCGCAACAACTTCAACCCCATGGGTGGATTCCAGGGCGGCGCGCCCAACCCCATGATGGGTGGGTTCCAGGGTGCCCCGATGGGCGGCATGCCGAACTACGGATTCAACAACAACCGCGGCAACATGATGGGTGGTATGCGTGGCGGCGGTGCTGGTATGCGCGGCGGCCGCGCTGGAAACATGGGCGGTCCTAACATGATGGGTATGCCTACTATGACTCCCCCCATGGGTGGCATGGGCATGAACCCAATGGCTGGGATGAACCCTATGATGGGTGGAGGCATGGGAGGTGGCATGCCGATGCAAGGTAAGTGGCTTGATAAATGCGCTGACTATGCTTCCGGTTCCTCGATCCTGACCACCTTCTAGGACAACAAGGTTTCCAGGGCCCCAACCCCGGATTCAACCAGGGCTACTACAACCCTAACAACCAGAACAACCAGGCCAGTGGCTCCGACGGAGGTTCCTGGAACCCTCATGGCGCGAAGCGTAGCCGACAGGACTAAGAAACACGCCGTTTTGTTGCTTGGGAATCACGGGTCATTTGACCATGGTGGTGCTCCTCAAGCCTCTCGCTACGGATCATGATGATGATGGTCTCTAGTGCATGGTGGGACTTCTTCAGATCAAGGGTTGTTTTCTCTTTTTTTTTTTTTGTTTCCAAATACTTTTATGGTTGCTTTTTCACGCGAATGGAGGAATTATCGGGGGGATGGAATGGCTACAAATGCCGAACTAGCAAGGTTGTCTTAAAATCATCTTCCTAGTTCTGGTTCTGCCTAATTTTTTTTATGCTAGTTTCTTTCTTTTTTCTTCGGTGTATTAGGATATCTCTTTTTTTTCCCCCCAATTCCATGTTCCGTTTTTCTAGGTCCAAAGTACATGTAATTAGCTACTCGGGTCGATGCAGAATCTGTGGAAAAAGGAATGAGAGGATAGTATGGACACTGTAAGATATAAGAGTCTTACGTTACTTTCACATTACTTGGCCGTCAGTTGAGAGCCAATATAAAAGAACGATCAGGATGTCTACAGGTGGGTTGGCTTTTGCACCTGTGCTCAAGCTGCATGCGAGGCCATGCAATACCCCTGCATCCAATGCACAGTAATCTTTTGGCTCATATGACCCCAAATCGAAATAGGGTTCATCCCAGCTTTAAAGAGAGGAGATCCTTTTCGTGCATTGCCTGCCAAAGGTAGACCAGACCATTAATCTACACATGCTGCATAGACAATAGTTGGAGGTAGTGCAAGCAAGGCAAATAATCAACACTACGCAAACCCGGTGAGACGCAACCTGGTTCCTAAGATTCCCTCTAGCGGTAATTGTCTAGAACCGAGACCAGGAAGAGCTTTACAGTGCGTGAATCAAAATCTCATTCCGAGTCCAATCTCATGCTTCGTGAGAGATCATGTAAATGATCAGCCCCGCTTCAACGCATGGCGATAAATGGCATCTCCTTGAAGTTAAGTGCCCAAGAGCACAATATACAAACTTGTACAGAAGGATTTCATGCCACAAAAAGTGCAAAAATTCAAAAACAAGAAACGAATTTGAACCCGAAAAAAAACTAGGCAAGACGTTAGAAGGTTGTAGAGGGTATCAAGTAGTGTGAACAGGGTGCTTCTAGATGCTCAAAAAAGACTAAGCCCCTTGCAACGCATCAAAAACCAAAAAATCTTGAGCTCGTAATTAGCGTAGTCATCAAGTCTAGTACAATACCAGGGTCAAGAAAGTACTAAATTTCGAGCACGGAATGGCATCTCTGCCACTGGTCCACTGGGCTAGTTTCAAGATAGGCCCCTGGACGTCTCAAAATCGAATGGCCAGTCTTGCACGTCCTCAGTCCAGTCGAGCAGCGGCGTGATTTCGGAGTCGGATGGCAACGTGGGAGTGGGATACTGGTCTAAATCGGTAGCAGATTCAGCGATATCTTCGGGGATCTTTTCAGATGCAATGGGCTGAGTATTCTTGGTGTGGGAATTTATTGCCGATGCATGGAGACTGAAAAGCTTAGCGAAGAATTGCACTCTGGTGTGGAGAGGATGAGTCGACTCGCGCGTCGAAGACATCTTGAATGTCATCTCGACACGCGTGTTGGTCGATAGTGGTAGGAGTCGAAAATGGACATAGGCAACGACATTGCGACTGGCGAGGTTCTAGAATGATCGAATTCAGATTTTCTGAGAACTAGATTCGTATGTGAGCCTAGGACCGGACCACCTGGTACTGTCGCCTTCGGTTGTTTCGTTTGTCTTCTGACAGAGATCGGGTGAATCAATGGACCAAGTACAATGCTGCGAAGTGGCCCCCGGAGATGGATGGCTTTCGACAACAATTGCCACCCTAAAAGAATAGATGACTTGCACATAAAGCATTGGTGAATGTGTTGGTGATAATGCCTGTTGATCGCGGATCGAAGAACTGCAAATTCTATTTGGGGTTGTAGTAAAAAGGTAGTTAAATGGTCAGGTTCTATGGCATTACAATGTTCGGCAATGCTTCAGGGACGAAGAAGGTCTTGTTCAAATCGATGGAGGTCGAAGATCTCTCTGGGAGGGCATGCATAGACATTGTCGAGAAAGATCCAACTTAATCAGAACTCCTGGGAACGTCATTGCATTTGTTGCAACCGTGGACAGATCTGCAGTCTTGACATTTGGCTAGTCAAGATCACATGTCTGCAATGGTTCAAGCTAACTGCCTTCTTTCTTGTTGGATTGTATTTTGTTTCGCCGAGCGTTTGCGCTTGGTCGAAGGATCGGCTCGTGACGATCCGAGGTTTTGTGGGGGCTGAAGGTTGTTGGGCTGCCTACTGCCTCGGGGGAAATGAGGCTCAGACCGACGAGATGGGCCAAGTGGGTCATCAATTGAAAATCGGTCTAAGCTCGTCGTCAGAAACAGAGTGCGAGATGAGACCAGGACGCGCCTTACCCACGCTTCCGAAGCGTTCGGAGCTGATGCTGGAATCAGTAAGACCTCCCAGTCCATTTGCTTGATCGGTTAGACTGGTATCCCCGTTCGAGTTGCTGGGTCCGGCAAAAGAAGACCCATGACAATGGCTATCGCCGTACCCGACGTTCCCGCCACCGTTGTCGCCGTGACAAGACCAGTCCTCGTCTGTCGGGGCATTCGTAGAACCAGTGGGAATGAGACAATGGTACTTGATGTGCTTGAAATACATAAACCAAGAAGATATCTTCCGGGAGCAAAAGCGGCAGCTTGGTGGATGTGGATATCTCTCTCGAGTTGCTTCCACGTTGGCTGGGGTAAGGCTGATTTTCTTGTGTTTGAGAAGGAGATGATCATGCATTTTATCTCGCCGGTGGACAACCACGGAGCAACCAGGCTCAGGACATCGCCACCCGCAGTCGAGTATATCATGCTTAGTCAAATGTCTCTTGAAGGTACCAAATTTTGAAAATGTTGTTTTATCCTTCTGAGGATCACACTGCCAACATTGAAACAATTTTCTTCCTCGTTCTGAGGACCCAGTTGATGAAGTCGAAGGTAGTGAGAGCTTTGAACCAAAGAAGTTTTTGATCGTCTCAATGTGCTGCAACGCTTGTAAGATTCGATCAGGACTAGATGTCTGATTATAGAGGAGATCTCTAAAGGATGCGACAACCTGGTCCATAACATCTTCAAGTGAAGGTTGCAGAGACAAGGGCGTCGAAGTTGGTATTCCCAACATGGTCCGATCCAATCCTCCCGTGGGACGAACGGTGCTCTCACTCCTTAGATTGTCTAATGGTCTTTGGGTGAGATTCGGACTTCCTAGATCATCTGCTAGGCATTTAACGGTGTTTTCGACCGTTATGGAATAGCTCGGAGAAAGACAATGCAGATCATGTTGCTGTGGAGGTTCGGGCATTTGGCTAATAGCACCGGTACTGGCCCATCCGGGCTCATGTTGGAAGGCCTCTGAACACAATAAACTTGACACATTGGCGGACGGGAATGTTCCTCTATGGTAATATGCACAAACCTGGTTAATCATTAGTACCCTGGAGCTGGAATCTTTGTATGGGTACAGACTTGGTCTATATTGATACCAGTAAAGCCCTCAAGCGAGGTGAAAGGGCCCGAATCTTCAGGCCACTGCATTATCTCATCTGCCTCCTCGTTGTTGGAAATGGGATTCATGTTGAGCAGGTCTCCTTGGGGTATATAATGTCAGAGCATGCAAAACGGTGTTGTAACCTGAATCAAAAGGAAATTCAAATCGTCGGAAAGAGTTCTGCCCTTAAGTAGCACGTTAGGGCTAGGTCTACTTTTCCTCATCACCTGGGTAAAAGAACTCCAAATTGGGGGAAGGGGGGCTGTCAGAGAAGGGGGCTGTTCGGGTCAAAACGAGTCTCCGCCTAAGAAAACAGTCCGAGGAAGATAGAAGGGACCAAGGAGGAGCGCGGTTCATGTAAGTACGTATATTACTGTTTCGGCCCAAACAAAACAAATGGCATTCAAGCGGTCAGCTTGTTGCCTTGTTCTGGGGGTGCAAATTGGGTAATTAAGTAAAGTCGAGGCACCGAATGCGATTTTTCCCTTGGAATTCAAAAGGATTTGTGAAAAATAGTAGATAGTCATGCCTACTGAGCCAGAACTTTATCCCAACTCGCTAAGTAAAAGAGAACTTAACTCATCCATGACATCCGGGATGCAACTGGGAGTTTTACCTGCTTTGGAAATTCCCGAGAGAATGGGGGGGGCGAAGAGGCAGTGCGTCAAAAGCAATCCACCAAAGATTTACAGGGGAGATTTTGCACTATCAGAGCAGCCGCACGTGGAACTTTGATTTAACGCAGATCATCGGCAAATCTAAATCTACAGATATTCTACTTTTTGGTTCAGCATTCAATGGATAGAAAACGATGGAGTAAATGCCAAGGGAATCGAAATTCAAGAGGATTGAGAAGATCATCGACAAGACCGCAGCAGGGAGCGAAACAAAAGAATGGATTCAAATAAAGTCATTTTGCTAGGGCAACACTTAACATGCAGGCAGATGGACCAATCTATCTGACTAACTAGGGGCGTTTGAAAGTATGAAATCCAGATGGAATTTAAATTTCTGAATTAACGTTGTTAATACCCCATCGGTTCTTCAGAGTTGAAAGCGGAAGTCTAGAATATCTCCAGCCAAACATTTAGTGACCCGGAGAGTATCGATTCGGCCTTAAGAAGCTCGGATACTTTGCTTCCTTCATCGGTCGAAATACAGAATAAAATACAGTGCAATCTGGTCTTTTTAAATCACATTTGACGAAACAAATAACGATAGAGTACAAGGATCATGGCAGACTCCGTTATCCGTGAACGCACAGAAATTTCAATTCAACGAATCATCTGCACAGACATGGTAATTACCGTGACAGTTGCAGAAAAACATGCCCGAACGGCAAAATGACGTCCATTGGTGGTGCGGGGCAATCTTTCTAGGTCTTGTTAGCAGTTCAAGGGCGAGGAAGGTAAGAGGGGGTTTGGGGAGGCGAGGTGCATTAAATGAAAATACCAGAATCCCACTATCAACGGTCAGAGCATAGTAGTTGTGCCAGGGCCACTGAGAGAAAAAAAAATAACCATGGGCAGGTGATTAAAAAGTAAGTATGGGATCTGCATCATCAGGGATTCAGGGATTAATATTGAAGGGCGCTTCAGGATAAATCAGCCAACTCACCTCTACGTGTGTAAGTGGCTCAGACGTAAGCCATCCTTTAATTAAGCTCGAGTACAGATCTGTACTTTTTCCGACGGCAAGCCCAACATTCCTTTGTTCCGGTGCGTTCAGGTACCAATCAAATTGTGTTATGCTCGCATGAAAATCACACTCGATTGTATTTTTTTCAACTGTCCAGGGATTAAACAACAATTGGGCAACCAGTGGTGACAGTCGCCGCTAAGAATCCTCGCTTTGACCCTTCACCAGACATCCATCTTTTTCATTGGTCATTTGGAGGCTACCTCGACAATTATTAAAATGTAGCCGCGTAGAAGGGGTGGAGAATCGGTCAACAGGTATTTTTCCTTTGAATACAAATGATTTTACGTAGACTCAGGTAAATAGGGATCAGAAAAAATGATGACGAAAAAGGTAGGGAATTGTGACTGGCTACTTGTGGACACTTCGATACTCGGGTCACCTTGAATTGGATCAGGTGGGGAACGGGATAGGTCGAGTCTCATTTATCTACCATGGATCGTCCAAAGTTTGAAGGCAAGGTTGAACGACACTTCGACTTGCTGCTGATTTTGACCGAGGTGGAGTACAAATCTTCTATTGCTTGGTGGGACATGATACCTACATAGGTAGCTTTACTCCGTAGAAAATCTTGCAATATGACATCTCATATGTTCTCGACTACAATCGCCTTGTCAAGGTCTGGGTAAAGAAAAAACAAAAAGAACCCAAATACAAAATTTAATCTCACAACGTCTCTTACATCTTGTAAATGCCACCATGTGGCCGAAAGAAAAAGAGAGGTCGAAATCGGACAGAACGAAATACGAGATAAATTCTAACAAGTAACGTAACAAAAGATTTACAAAGCAGCCCCACATAACTACATCGGCAGTTATGATCTACATATACCCGAATTTTTTCCTTCCAATAAAACAGCATCCGGAACTAGAAAGATGAATCAAAGCTCGGATCTTGTTCGTCACTGAACTCCCCCGGAAATCCCTGTACAATAATTTGACACAAAACCCAATCTCAACAACTGCCGATAGCCTAAGTCTAACGTTTGGACGAATAGATGGCTTTGACCGGTGACCACGGGTCCAACGAGGTGGGCGCATTTACCCAGGTCTCAAGCATAAATGAGCTTCCCTTCTGGGACTTGGAAGTAGACACCGAGGCGTCATAGTGGTCGAGGGAAGTGGGGCTTTCGATAGTGGGGCCCGAGGTTTTGGTCGTGAGGAAGGTAGACGAAGAGCCTCTAAGAGAAAGTCAAAGTTAGTAAATAAGACAAGATAGACCACTGGATTCCTAATGGGAACTGTTAAAGTAGGGGATGCTGGGGGAGGTGCGGGTATTGACGGTGCATGCCATCAAACTATCTGGCCCGCTTACTTGTCGGAGCTCATTTTTGGCGCTTCAACCCGGAGATTGCCGTTGAAAGCGGCGGTGAAGACGACTTTGAGGGAAGAGGGAGTAAAATAGACTGCCTGAGATGGTAGCTACGTAGGCTACTCAAAGGTAATCGAAGATAGACTAGTTCAACAAATGCCGGTGCAAACTCCCGCCGAAGTAGTCAAAGCGTGAGCTGTGAGATTGAAAAGTGTATATGTTGACGGCCTTTAAGAATGGGAAGCAGATGTAACGCCTATAAGCCAAAAATGAATACAGGTCTTGGTCTGACCATCTCGCTGCCAACAAAGGAGAGCCCGGGTGTGAAAGCGAAGTCTTCCCACGGGCTTTCTATGGGGACAGAGTAGTGGCGATAACGATGGCATTTGAAAAAAAAAACCGGGTGTGGGATCTAGACCGAATTTTCAGGTTCTAGTATTGGATGTGTTTGAAAAGCTATTTAGAAAATCAGCCTGTTGCTGAACAACGCGATAGAGCTAGGGAATTAGAAGACAAAACGGCTTCTCACTCTCTTTTTTGTGTTCTCTGAACATGAGATAGCAAGAGGGGAAGAGTCACATAGAGTATTAATTCATACATGCAGCCACCAATAGCATACAAACTAGGAAATTTTAACTCGCTGGCCCATTCAAGTCTGCCCTGGACAAATGTATCAGCCAAAGGTGATCTGCAGAAGTAGCAACTAGACCGCTAGACTCAATCCGCCCTGCACGTCTTCCCTACCCCGAGCTGCATGCCTCCGCCTATTAGGTGCAAGACATGAGTAGTATGGGTCTCGGCAGTGGCGGTTGAATGACAATTCAATTCAAGGGGGAGCACAATTTAAGCATGGGTAGACTAAGAGGAAATTGATCATTCCCAAAATTTCCACCATCAGCCAAGACACGGACCGGGTTCCAGGCAATACGCTATACGTATTCCTTACGCTCCGGTTTAGGGCGAAATACTAGCAATAACTGCGAATAATGAGGCTCTGGAGCAATGCGGTCGTGCTAGTCTGGGGTTAGACTTCTGTAATTCTAGATGTTCCGGCCGATGGAATCCTGTAGGGTGAACACTGTGTCCGTGTACCCAGACGCTCGAATTTTATCTTTGTCTTGACCTGTGACGTTCCACTTTAAGTCAACTCACAAGCCCGTCCCACGGGTGCTTGAAGGGTGTGTAGAAGGGGTGTAGGGGTGTACACTCCCTAGCAAATCTATCTACCAATTTTCAAAATCGTTTAGGTCAGAAAGCTCTAGTCCGAGAATCTAGACACTGATACACCCCATCAGAAAATGGATTTCCAAGTATGCGACCAGTTGAAGTGCAGCTCCGTCAGGTCCCCGCTTTACATACAAACAGTCAAGGTGGATCGGATCATCTTCAAGTCTATGTCATGCGAGCCAGGCACTCAGTTTGGCGGGTCGAAGAAAATTTGCCCCAGCAAAGGGGAGAAAACAAAGTTCGAAAAAGATTCCCTTACAATTTCTAAATTGTCCTGAATATCACTTGCATCACGTATTCCTAGAAACAAGGCATTGTGGCGCAGTACATGCTACTTCTAGAGATTGCTTCCGACTTGGGCATAATACGCGATTCGGGCAATCGGGCATTAAATCCTAGAGGTACCTATTCACACTCGCCCTAGGTGCTCACCCGCAAGGATGGAAATAAGCCAAGTAGCGATCTAGGAAACCAGCACTCCGTACTCCGTACCACTGAGCGCTTCGATCAGGTAATAGGGAGGGATGATGGGCATCCAAGTCGAGCGTAGCTCTTCTTCGCCAGATGGGGATAACACATCGACTATAGTCAGACACTGGCTAGAGCTAGTCCAAACATAGCTAAAAGCAAGGGTATAATACGAGAGAGGCCTTGCCACCACTTGCCAAATGCTGGTCTATGACTCTTGTTGTTTTTGGTCGGATGCCTCGCCTACGCGATATTAGGGTAAGATTTTTTTTGGTTAAGAGAGGTCACATCGGCAAAGGCAGGAAAGGAGGAATCGAGCAACATGGGTGAGTAGTTCGGGTGCGTTTGTCGCCTGTATTCAGCAGCCTTGGTGAGATGATGCCCAACTTGTGTCGAGTTCGGGTTATGGCCAAGACTATAGCTTCAGAGAGCCCATGTCTCGGTGGCGGTGCAATTAACACGACTGTGCCTACTTAGCTGGGTTCCAGTATCTGCAATGCAATCTGCATGAATTGCAGTGGCCCTATTAGTGAAAAGGTACGTATTAGAAGTGTCTACGTCATAGTTCTGGTACTTTCCTTTCTTTTGGGTTTTCTTTTTTTGCTCGGTCACCCTCACGAGTGTGGGCCAAAAAAAAAGCAATGTAGCAATGCCAAGGGAGCCTCGCCTCGGAATCGCAATTCCTAGACAGAAAGCAAGAATTCTTTTTGATCTTTTTCATTTCTTTTTTGTCTTTTGCCAAAGTAGTCGGAGTAGCGGTGGCTGTTCAAATGAAAGTTTCACCCAAATCGCGTGTGCCGCACACATGCAGATGGCCTGCTTTCTCTTCTATACCCAGTATTCATACAAGTAGAAGCAGATCTCCCCTTAGTCACGTAGGGAGCGGAAAGACAGGTGTGATAGAAGCGAGGTATTGTGCCATTGTGCTGTGATAGTAGAGCGTAAGAGCTGAGAAGTAAGGTAGGCTTAGCTTGAGTGCAAAGAGGGTAGGCTATGATGTCTTGCGGCACATTCGCAGAATGAACCCGTTTCTAGCGAGGTCAGTATATTGTGCCCATACTTCATCTCGGACTTGCCATTGCCTAGCTAGACGGTCGGTGCTTAACGCAGACTTGCCCATCCTGATAAATGACGTGGCCGAGAAGTTCATTAGCACGGCAGATTGCAAAGCCTTCCCCGCCACGATATAACACAACATCAATCATTCGGAATCATCGCTCGGAATCGTCGAAATTCGTAACCTTTGAATCTAATTAACGAGCATGATTATAAAGATTTGAAGTCCGAACTATGCTTGATAAGAATGCAAATGCCTCTGACATGTGACTACCATCAAGGTCAAGAGCAAGAGTGAACAGAACTACGCACACAGGTCTAAAAACAATAGGCCGAATCATCCAGGAGATGTCGGACCGGGAAAATTGTAGACATGAACTCGGAAATTTTTTGATTTTGTCTCATTCAGGGGAATCTATGCACAGGCGAGAGATGTGCCAGGGCATCCGAAACCCTTTGCGCTTCGTCTCATGTATCAAATTCCATTTCAGTCTAGGCAAAAATGGAGTGAAAACCCAGTAAACACCTAACAACCGCACACACCGTTCCATTTCGATAGCGAGCCCTTTAAATGTGGGTATCGTAGGCGATAGGGACGACGGTCTCGGGCTTGCTGCCATCCTGCTTGACGAAGTGAGCCTCGCGGGGACCAACGGCCTGACGCTTCAGGTGGACGTGGACACCCTTCTCCTTGGCCTCGCGCTTTTTGATGGCGTTCTCCTTGACACGCTTGATGAAGTCCTCGCGGGAGCGGGAGTGCTGGACGTGCTCAATACGGACGCTGATACGCTTCTCGAGGTAGCGGTTGTCGACCTTCTTGTAGAGGATGACACCGACGGCGGACTTGGTGACGTTGTAGACGACACCGGTCTTACCGTGGTAGACCTTGTGGGGCATACTGTTCAACTGTTAGATTCTCGTCCTTCCTTTTCCGGGTTTCGCATTGCCCATGGTGTGTGATCGCAGTGGGCGGTCGGGCGAGAGTGTTGGGAGGAGGTTTCGGAATTTTACTGACCCCTTCTGGACGGCACCATTGACCTTGAGGTCGACAATGTCACCAACACTATAAGATTTATCCGTCAGATTTCAATTCCTGTCGTTCGTTCGAGATTCGAGAGTTCTGAGCGTACCGGTAGGTCTTCATGTAGGTGGAGAGGCGGATCATACCGGCCTCCTTGAAGCCACGGCTGAAGGCATACTGTTTGTCGTCTCGTTAGCACTTATCCTCCCTGAGGCCCAAGGGCGTATCGAGATCCAGATCGTCCTCCCAGTATGAAAAACAGACGTGTGTCGCAAAGGGAATCAAGACGTACCCGAGTGCCGGCGCGCAGACCGTACGAGTGAGGCATGACGGCGGTGTTGTGGTTGGTGCTGGTGGTTAATTGTCGACGGGGCCTTCAACACGAAAAACTAGAGTGTCGGATAACAATTTGTGGGATTGACATGACATAATCACCCTCGCTAAAGCCCTGGAGCCACGCTAGGCCTCTTTCGGACGATTTGATTAGTTTTTCTAAATTGAGGTTAGCGTGATATTCAACCTTCAGCCAATCAAAGCTTGAATTGCCTCGAGCTCTTCATCGGTTCTACTTCAAGTTGTGCAGACAGGTCATGCTCTTTCCAATGTTCTTCCCTGCCTTTTCTATATTCATGCCAACCTTTTCAATGACGCCAGATTTCTTTTCTGAAATTTCAATTGCATTTTACCCTATGCCAATCCTCTTAAATTTTTAAATTGACACCCACTGGACATGAATCATCAAATTCAGCGAGCGTCCAGGTGGTAGTGTCGGTGCTGGTGGAGGAGATCATAGCAGTCTTTGACCAAACAAAAACCACCCTACTTTTGCTAGGTCTCGGGGCCAGTATTTTTGCTGCGAGCTCTGCCATTCGTCTCCAGTGATAACCCCCTTTTTCCCGACAGACTTGGCGTCTGACGTTGTTAGCCATCTATCGGCTTAACCTTGTCATCCTCAGACAAATAATCTATCCAGTGATTCAAAATCTTCAGATTGCATAGTTGCAGCTCTAAATCGCAGAGCTCTAAAATGGATCCTCGACTAGAAAATGCTTTAACCTTGGATACCTATGAACGTTGGCTGGCAATGCAGTGCTGTGAACTGACATGGCAACATCTGAATCATCCTCACAGCACTGTGATCAGAATGACAACTATCCAGCAGCCTTGAACTCAGTTCCAGAATATAGACTAGCATGCAACTCACATGCACTTGAACTTCAGTGACCATTCTGACTGACTGCCATTCTTTGCCAGACCAAATAATTCTACAGCAACCACCAAATCGGGATGCTTAGAAAAACTGTATTTACCCAATTGATGATAGAGTGTGATGGGCATGATCTGAAAGTAAAGACGAACCAAATTTTTGGCACATATCGCCTTCGCCTGTTTCTCATAGTGTTCATGCAAAACCCCAGTTTTGATGATCTCCCTAATGCAACACCACAAAAGGTTCCAAGTCAGAGGGATAAGTAAACATGTACTATAATTCCACGCTTGTTCGAGGTGGAGAGCAGACATAGTAAAACCCAAGTGATTCAAACAAGTGTCTCCGTAAAAAATTTCCTGCAGGCGAACACCCAAACCATGTGATTGAAGAGCCGAAAATTCTGGAGGTTGGTGAAGAGTGGAACCATGGATGTGCCCAGGTGCAATAGCCCACCAACATAATCAAGCTGACATAAGCAAAGTCCCTAATTAGGACTAGGGTAGGGCTCGCACCACACACACTCAAATTCTCAATTCATCCTTGACCCTTCGACCTTCCGTCGACAACCTCCGCCCATCTAACCGCAGCTATGGCCCCGTGAGTACATGAAAAGATCGAAGGCATTGAACCATTCTAATCAATTCCCATGCAGTCGCGTTTCCTCCAAGACCTACAAGGTCCCCCGTCGCCGTAAGTGAATTTCTATCGATTCTTCAATTTTGAATGTTCAAAGGCTAACTCCATCACAGCCTTCGAGTCGGCCCGTCTGTTAGTACTCTCCGGCCACTAACCAGAAGCGTGCTTCTGGTTATGTCGTATTCACATGCCTAACATATTTCACTAGTGATTCCGAACTCAAGACTGTCGGCGAGTTCGGCCTGCGCAACAAGCGCGAGGTGTGGCGTGTCCAGCTCACCCTCTCCAAGATCCGTCGTGCTGCTCGGTACGTGCAAGGAAAAATCTGAGACTTTGCGAGGCTTCGAGCGATCGGGTCTAGGCAAATTTAAACCGGCGGACATGGCGCTAATCTTTCATCTTCTCCACAGTGAGCTCCTTACTCTCGATGAGAAGGACCCCAAGCGTCTCTTCGAAGGAAATGCCCTCATTCGCCGTCTTGTCCGCATCGGTGTGCTCGATGAGTCCCGCATGAAGCTCGATTACGTCCTTGCCCTCAAGGCTGACGATTTCCTCGAGCGCCGTCTCCAGACCTGCGTCTACAAGCTCGGTCTCGCCAAGTCCATCCACCACGCCCGTGTCCTGATCAAGCAGCGTCACATCCGCGTCGGAAAGCAGATCGTCAACGTTCCCTCGTTCATGGTTCGCCTCGACTCCCAGAAGCACATTGACTTCTCTCTCACTTCGCCCTTCGGTGGTGGCCGTCCCGGCCGTGTTCGCCGCAAGAAGGCCGCTGCCGCCGCTGGTGGTGATGACGCCGAGGAGGAAGAGGAGGAATAGATTATTCCCAATATTCCCCAAAAAAAGGAGTACGGTCGGGTTTCGCTTGGGGCGCTTTCACACCATGGAGGTACAAAATGACTGCATAGCGTCACATGTTCTACGATCATGCAACACAATGAATCAAAAACAGCCGAAAGGCTTCAATTTGGAACCCGATTTCATTCGATTCCCATGCTTTCGTAACCTAGAATTGCAAGAACACGGACCCATAAATGCACAGTAGATCCAAACGCCATGACCCTCCGATCCCCACCCACCCACCTAAGATAAGCTCAATTGTTCGTCCCTCGTATCAACGTACACAAGCCTGGGCTTGGCCTACAGACTGTTATGCTTTGCTCCCCACCAATTCTTTCAAGATCTCTTCTGCGCCCCTGTACCAACGTCCCATCTCTTCTAATCCATCACTTTCACCCTGTTGCTTCTTGCGTTGCGCTTCACGGGCTTGTGCGATCGTATCTGACTTTCGTCGCTCAAGTACGCTGCGCTCTCTCTCTACTGCCTCGGCCTCTCGTGTCTTCCGAGGCAAGGTGTTGTGCACGGCAGCTAGCTGGCGGTTCACGGCTGCTAATTCTGCCTCACGTTCCGCCAATAGTGCCAGGGTCGCGGGAAGAGGAAGATTCTGCGAAGAAGAAGTATTGTTGGGATCGGAAGGATTCATGGTGGCCATCTGCTTGGCGCGGAGTTCGGCGATTGTTGACTCGAGATTATCGATTGAAGCAGGCAGCGTTGAGAGCTGTGTAGTTTGAAGTTCGACGATCTTGTAACCTGTTATGGTCGCGGTAGACGCTTCAGTCAAGATGTTTAACTTCCACGTTCATTGGCAACTCACGGCTTGCTAAGTCACGGCCCATTAGCTCCATTTCCTCGATCATAATCCGTGCGTCTTCCTTCCGTGCCTTGAGTTCGGCTTTCACATCCGCTAGTTGCGCCTCCAGTTCCATGTTCTCGTTGTGTCCGACAACCATAGGCGGGTCGCCAACAATGGCGCGCAAGAACTTCTCTTTCGTTACTTGCTCGAGGTAGGAGAATCGCAGTTTCGAGAACAGTTCCTATGCAAACACATCAGTATTTGATGGTCTGAAATACGCTGCATTCAGGCTCATCGCGCGGACCTTATAGTGTGCAAGATCAGCCTCCAGCGAGGCAGGGTTAGGATCGTCATAATTTGAGACAGAAACATCAGAGGTTCGCTTTGAAGGAGACGGGTAAGATCCCCCAACTTCGGTGGAAATTGGCTCGCTGATGCGAATGATCGCTAGTCGGTCCTTCAAATTGCCGCTCTCCTCCAGCTGCCTAAGGGCTGCAAGGGCTTCAGATGATGAAGTTGCCATATCGATAGGGCTTGAATGTCGGAAACCTGGCTATGAAAAGAAAAATGAACGAGGTTTGCGATTGCTTTAGAGCTTGGAGGGGCCGAGTCCACCTGCGGGCACAACATTTGCGGGACAATAAACAACCCTATGTCAAAGGCGGTCAGCACAACTCTTGGAAGGCGCTTTCGTCTTCGCCTTACATGCTTCTCTTTCAACTGAAGAGGATTCCGCCTTTGTTTAATTTAATATGGCCTAGCGTATATACTTGCTTTGTTCTACATTCCTCGCTTTCCTCGGTGCACTCCTTCAACACTCTCAGAGTATTACGATCTACGGTCCATCTGTGTTATGGACGACGATTATGTTGCACAGATCCTGGCCAAGGAGGCTAAGGAGAGCTCTATTAAATATGCATCTCAAGGAATGAGTGCTTTTATGCCTTTGAGGTTGGTTTGCTCTTATCGTCAGCGGTTTGCATGAGTTCACGACTTACAAACGCCTGCAGGCCGACAAGCAATGCGCCAAAACCCAATACCCGCTTCCTACGAAATCTTATCAAAGTAACAGACAGTCATAACACAGCTCTCAAGCTCAAAGAAGAAAGAGAAGCACGGGAGCGCATGCGCCAACTGAAAAATCAGGCTTCGGGTGCTTCAAGTGCTTTGGCTCAAACTTCCATAGACCGTTCTTCCAAACGATCTGATTATCGGAGTGAAGTACGAGGATCAAGAGATAATCGGAGGGGAGAGCGGGAAGATCGTATTCGTTCCTATCGCAAAAGAACTCGAAGTCGCTCCCCTTCAGCGGAACAAGACCGGTCGCGGAGGCGTCGACAAAGAAACGAAGATTACGGCGGGACTGGAGAGAGAGGCAAAGATCGCGATGAACATCGGCGCGAACAAAGGGACCACGAGTCATCTAGGAGGGATCGACGGGATACAAATAAGGAACACACCAGGCGGCGGCGTGAGCGATCATACTCGAGGTCTCCAAGCCGTTCTCCCCACAAAGACCGAAGTACCGACCGCCATCACCATCGAAGACAAAAACATCAATCTAGGCCTTATACTCGCTCCCTCTCCCGTTCCCGCTCACCAGATTCGTACAAATCTCGGCGGTCAAAGCGGGAAGATGTGTCGCCATATGTCTCCCGCAGTTCTCGCATTGAAACCACACGACATAAACGAGGGTCGCCGTTGTCTACTATAACTGCACTCCAAACGGAGACCGACGTGGGCAACGAATCTGATCCCTTAGAAGACCTTGTCGGGCCACTTCCTCCTCGACAAAACGAGGCACCTATCCGCTCGCGTGGGCGAGGTGCCTATAAACACAATGTGAGCAACATCGATGCTCACTTTGCCCCTGGCTACGACCCGGCTACCGATGTGCATCTAGATGAAGACAAACTACACAGTGTGGGCCAGGAATCCTCCCGTCGTCCTGTCGCTGGGCTCATGACAAAAGAAGATGACTGGGACATGGCAATGGAGGCGCTGCGCGATCGTGAACGCTGGAGAAACAAGGGCGAGGAGAGGCTACGTACAGCTGGAATCGACGAGGCAACCATTGATAAATGGAAGAAAAACACCGCTTTCGCGGGCGTGGACGGAAAAGGCAAACCTGAGGATGTACAGTGGTCGAAGAAAGGCGAAGGGCGGGAATGGGATCGCGGCAAGTTCGTGGATGACGATGGCCATATTGACGTTCGGGCTGCTTGGTAGCAATTTTTACTGGATGTTTTGATGACTGGCGTTTGAGAACTGTGCTATGGGTGATACCAAGGTGTATGTTGCAACTTTGATCTTGTTTTTTGGCTTCGCCTTCATTCACGAACACTTTGGTCTACCCTGTCTATGCTTTGCGCAATATATATCAAACAAAGGAGGATTTCCCCAAATTTTAGACGTTTCCATGGTCATTGCCTCTAGGACGAAGATAGACATATTCTGATGGTGGAATCCCACAGAATCCGAAAAAGTCGTGACAGTTGATTAAGCTAGTGATTTTTTCAACATGATAACTCTGCCAAGTAGCAAGTTTACTATAAACCCTTGCCCTTTTCCATCTCCCTGTAACTAGTGCAGTTGATGTACAATTGTACGTTCATCGATGCCCTTTGTAGTGGTAGGGTCGTTCCGCGGCTTCGTCAGAGTGCGGAAATTTTCCGTTGCAGATTTGACTGACGATCAGATTTATCTGAGATTTTCGATGCCACAAAAGATTGGGAAGATCCGCCAATGCTTACTAGAGATGCGTGATCCAACTCGATAATTTGCAATGATTTGCAAGCGCCCCGCTAAGAACCCCAAGTTATACGCCACATAAATCTGTAGTCTTGCACCTATTTCTTCCCCTACCCTCACTGCTCTCTTATCTTCCTCAATAACTCAAATCTACTTACAATGACAGACCCATTCGCCTACTCATACCCCTCCCCATTGGAGGGGTACGAAGACCTCGAGCCACTGTCCGAGTAGGTGTGCCCCATGCCCAAATCGAAGTCCAAGATGCTTAACTTCTCTACTATAGCGAGCGAAATGAAGACGGTAAATCATTGAAGAACCCTCAACATGGCGTATTAAGCAAAGCCTACGAGGAATTCCCGGACCCTCTTTCCAAAGGCCGAGAGGGAGGTTTCGACATCCACATCTATCATTTCCAAGTAAGTGGCGCCCACTCCCCCTTTTCGGACTATAAAGGCAAGCCATAGCAAAACTGACGCATCGACCAGAATAACCCCGAACAAGCCTCATTTGCGAAAGCGCTCTGGGAGCGAATCAGACGAGAATGTAAGCGCACTCTTCTAGCCAAGAAATTGCATCACCTGGCCGTCTACTGCGGGGTTGAGGTTGTTCATTTCAATTGATGTAATTGATGTATTGCTTACACTTCTGAACAGTCCCCGAGCTTCGAATTTACACCTTCTTCGACCGGCCTATCGGCCCTCACCCGGTGGCCATGTTTGAAGTGAATCTGTTCACCCCCGCGCAGTTTGGAGCCTTTGTCCCTTGGTTGGTTATTAATCGGGGCCCGCTCAGTGCTCTCATTCATCCCAACACAGTGGCATCAGAGGATGAGCGCAATCATACTCAACGTGCGACGTGGCTTGGTGATCGGATTCCGTTGGATTTGAGCCTCTTCAAGAGGAAATAGTAGTACACGAAGAAGGAAAATAAGCATGAAAATGTAATACGAGAGAGGCTGCGGTACCTGTGGATTGTTTTAGCAAGATGTCAATGCCACCAATGAATGTTTATACATCTGAAGAAAAATCGGGTTCACTACAAGGCACGTATTATTTTGGCCTTCTTGGCATCCTTTGTGTCTACACACGAGTGGGGTTCACTACGTTCGACGAACGTAATTCAATAGCAGGTTGAAGAATTCGATTTAAAATACCAACAACTTCAACTGCCAGTTTTCAGTTCGATGCAATCTGCTTTCTTGGATCACGGGGTACAATCTAACTTGGGTGGTGATGAGCGGACACAATATCCAGATCCATACGGGACGATATCTTCACTGACTTGGGGAATGGAGACTGGAGACGTTACATAATCTTGCTCGTAAATACTGATTGAAGTTTAGTAGCGATTGTTGGCCGATGAGCTCTTTATTTCTATGATTTTGTCCTCAATTAGTCCGAGATGCTTCACAGCGAAGCTTGATGATATGACGGAAATTGACCACGCTAACTGATATTATGAGCAGCACAGCAAAACGATAGGGTTAAACCGAGTTGATTTGACTCTTGCATCTGGTAAATAGAAAAAAATCGAAGGCCTTTGGCGAGTGGATCTCAAATTACGTGTCTTCCCTACTGCTTGAACTGTAAAACCTATGGTTAACTATTCTCAAGACAAATGAGAACTACAAAAGGCATTATCCACAGGAAGACCTTCAGCGTATTACTCCAAGTGATTCCATCTAGTCCAATCGAGTCCCGAACTCTTCATCGTGATGGCTTCGCGGGCAGGTGACCTCGTCAGCTCAAGGTCAGTCTTAGAGCAATGTTATTCATCCATGAGATCAAGCATGCAGATCGCGCTATTGTTGTGACCAGCAAAAACCGTACGGTGACTCCTGCTACTGCACTCCCCTGTTCTTGGAGCACCCAATATAAAGCTCACATTCCTCTGAGTTGCAAATTGCACACCCTATCCCGGAGGATAAAGGAAGTAATCAGGGTTCTTATCAACAATCCCACCCTATCGCATGAGAAATACCACCTGAATCTAATTTTGATTATTTACGCCCTCACCGTATTGTCCGAGCTCGAAAAATCAATGTCAAGGTGCTGTGACCTGCCGCTCGGAACACTGGCATGATCCTCGTCAAGGGATCACTTCGAGGGATCCATGGCATCGCTGGAATAGCAAACGATCTTGTGATTATGGACTCCGATTGCTTGCATTTTTGATTCATTGCACCTCACTCCACGTTATATCTTCGAATCTTATGCCCATGACGAGATCATGCTGACAAAAATTAGTTTAAGCATCGTTACAAGCTAGCAAGCTTTGGCTATTTCTATCATAGGAAATAAAAGGGAGCTTCTCACATCTCCATCACTTGAGAACAGTAACACAAGATGCATCCTTTCATATCGTTGGTACTGGTTGGATTATCTTCTACCCAACTAGTCTGGGCATCATTCAACGACAGGGCCACATCTGATGTCCTACCATATGCCTTGGAATACGGCAAGCTACCTGATACATCTAGTTCTAATCTTGGTTTACTTATTCCGCTTAACAGCACCCTTGGTCTGGCTTCATAGCCAGGAAATCTACCTGCCGAGCGACAACCAGCAGCAGCTCGATCATACCAGACCCAACGTAAACTGGACAACCGTTGAGGGAGTGGAGTCGCCCCTGACACTCAACAACCTTGACACGCTCAACTATATGGGAAATTCAAGCGTCTATCTAACCTCTCTAGGGGGCATCGAAGCCAATCCAGAGCCATCCTGGTTCCGAGATATTAGACCGGACTCACAGTGGCGAACAGGCAATGGTACAGGGAGTGTCATGATTATCGCAGATCGCGGTAATGAAACCGTTGATGCGTTCTACTTTTACTTCTATGCGTGAGCTCAGCTGTATCCTGAGTCCGACTTTGTACTGACCTGATCCCAGATTCAACAAAGGTGGCAGGCAGGGTACTAGGTCTAGAATTCGGCGACCACATCGGAGACTGGTAAGTGTAAAGAACACTGTGTAGAATCGCCCTGACTAGAAAAAAAATTGACAAAAAAAAACAGGGAACATAATACGATTCGTTTCGTCAATGGGCACACCCGACGCAATATGGTACAGCCAGCATGCCAGTGGACAGGCATTTACATACGCCGCCGTTGAAAAGAGGGACAAGCGGCCGTATGTATTCTCGGCGAGAGGCACACATGCAAATTATGCAATTCCAGGGTAAATCCAGATGATTTCGAACATTTGGTGGTGGAAGGTCAATACTGATTTAGACACCCAGAAAACATGACCACACCATCCCGGGATTCAACCTCCCTGCGGGGGTTCTAATAGACTATACAGACTGTGGCGTGCTGTGGGATCCCCTAGTCAATGTCTACACCTACACCTACACCTACGATAAAATAATAGCTGCGTTCCAGACTGTTAGCTTCAGAGACCTAGTGGCGTGGTTAAATTTCAATGAGAGATGGGGTGATGACCAGCCCGCCTAATGAGCCCTCCATTTTTGGTGAGGCTAAGAACGTTGCTGGTCCCAATGGTCCTAAATTTAAGGGCTTAGATAGACAATTGGTCTGTCCTTCCAAGCCGTGCTTTGTGCTTCCGTTCAGGGTTTTCTCTGTTAATGCGACTTCGTGAGGGTTGGGAGACGATGAGAAAGGGGTTTATGGTGGATTGTGGGTATATTAGGATCATGTGGGATAATATAGTTTCGGCATATATTGATCAGAGTGGAAAGACTACTAATTATATTGAGAGATTGTCCATCAGCCTGGTCATCTTATTCCCTGGACTCCCACTCTCCCCGGATCCCTTTTTCTCCGAAACAAAGTTCCTGCAAGGGAAACCCCCCACTTATGATCCACTCCATTATTTCTCGATTGAAAATGCGATATTTTTAGGGGCAACAGAGCATATCGACATACTTCATTCGATGGAGTCGTGAGGGAAAAAATTTGGGTTCGGATCTTCTATCATTCTATTTACAGGGCATCAAGACAGTGAGTGACTGGAATCTTAAGCAAATCGTTCATCGCGCCCTCCAGTTCCCGCTCCCGTCACAGCCCTGGAGGACCTCTCGTATTTGGGCCGAAACCTTCAATTGCCGTGTTTCAGAAATTGATCTAGCTCGTATTGGAGATGGCCGGTTAGTAGTTGCAGTGTCTAGTCTCAACTGAGGTTAAGGGAAAAGCAAATTTGCACACTCTGCAGACCATGCAAACAAAACAAACAAGACAAACACACTTGGTGCGGAGTAAGTTGCACACTCTTCTACTTGATATTCCTCTTCTTCGCGACTCCATCCCAGATGAAGGCTCCCGTTTGAGTGGTGTCGCAGATGTTTCGAATCTCATTATTTTGGACAAGTGGAGACCTTGAAATGGCCCATGGTGCACGTTTCAGATTCCCTTCCACGAGGGGAGACGAACGTGCTGACCATGTGTGCTCCGTTCGACTAGTTCACAGATGTCATGATACAGTCAACTTGAAAGATACTCGTGGATTTGCCATGGCGAATCTCCTGCTGTTACGTTCCTATGAACCGGTATTCAACGACCCATGGTGGAGAACAGCCGCTCTGGACGAAGTTGGAGAGTGTTTACCCCTGAATGGCCTATTCTGGTCTTTTCTACTCCGTACGGAGTATATTCATCATATTTCGATCTACCCCTTAGTATCGTAAAATAGTGAGATTAAATCCCTCTTTTGCTTTCTATCCTCTATTCAATTTTCTCCAAGCGCCGCTGTTGCTGGACGCTGTGAGCAGGCCTATTTCCAATAAAAAAAAAACCCCCCCTCCCCAAAAAAATATCGTCCCCTCCCAAAAAGGGGAACTTTGGAGTTGGAACTTTGTTCAAGTCCCATCTTCAATTCCATCCTCCTTCACCCACTGGCTGGGAACCTTGTATTTGGTTGATTCAACCTCTTATTCTTTTTGATTTATCTGTTGTCACGGATACTTTCGATTCTGAGAAAACCTGATCCCCAGATTGACAATTGGATTGAAATCTTTGTCCAGTTTCAGAGCAGTTTTGAATCGCTCCATCTCCGGATCTGAGCACTATCTGCACCATTAGCGCTGTTGAACTCCGATATATATCACATCATTTGATTGGTGAGTGGCAGTTTCCCAGGTTCCATACCCCTGACGCCTGGTGAGGGGGGTTGGGAAACATCGAGATTCGATAGAGAATAACCCCAGAACTGGTAATAAGACAAAAAAAAAAGGGAAACGAAGATAGAAGAGAGCATAGAGAAAAGAATCTAATCAGGAAAGCGCAGAAACAGAGGCCGACAAACCAATCCCAAAATGGCAACCACGCGCCAGGGACCTGAAACAGACAACCGTCGCACCTCCCTCGGTTTCCTTCGTCTTTCTAAATCCACCGAACCCCTAGGCGAGCAGAAATCTTCCGGCTCCCGCAAAAGGTCGTCCAAATACCAAGCCATGGAAGATGAGATGCGTCGTCAGCGCGAGTCTTATGCCCCCACAGTGCCTCCCCGCTTGCCTGATTTTTCCCCCACCCCGCAGCTGGAAACTTTTGGAGGTGAGGATCGTGAGATGTTTGCCAACCCAATTCCAACTCGCCCACAGCCTGGAATTGTCGCTTCAACCTCTATGGCTGGGTCAATCAACAGCGTCGATCCCTATGCGCGCGCCGAGAGCATGACCCACCGTGGCAGATATAGCTATGCGAGCAGTGCTGTCAGCTCCGTGAACAGCCCCCGCCGTGTGCGCCGTCGCAAGGACCCCACCTCATACAAGTGAGTCGCCAAGAATGTGATATCAACACCAAAACAGATCGGCTAACAATGGGAACGTGTTCAGTGTGCTGGTCATCGGTGCTCGTAACTCGGGAAAAACCTCATTTCTCAACTTCCTCCGCAGTGCTCTAACCTTGCCCGCAAGTAAGCACCCCTTGCGCACCCCTGAAGAGGTGGCAGAACTCGAGCGTCAAACTTCGGCATGGGATGGATTCACTTCGCAATACCTGGAAACGGAGTTCGACGGAGAACGGGTTGGACTTACCCTGTGGGACTCTGTAGGCTTAGAGCGGAACATCGCAGATCTTCAGCTGCGTGGCGTGACAGGCTTCTTGGAGAGCAAGTTCGAGGAAACTCTCGCCGAGGAGATGAAGGTTGTTCGTTCTCCCGGTGTTCGCGATACCCACATTCACTGCACTTTCCTACTTCTGGATCCTGTTCGTCTCGATGAAAACATCGCCATGGCTAAGCGTGCTGCCAAGGGCACGCCCAAGATCAGTGATACGCCCGTGATTGGGATTCTGGACCAGAATCTGGATATTCAGGTGTTGCGCACGGTGCTGGGCAAGACCACTGTGGTGCCAGTTATCAGCAAGGCGGATACGATCACTTCCGCCCACATGAGCCACCTCCGCAAGGCGGTCTGGGACAGTTTGAAACAGGCCAATATCGACCCTCTGGAGATCTTGACATTGGAGGACCAGGAAGAAGAATACTCGTCGGATGAGAATGAAAGTGAAGATCTTGAGACTGGAGATGCCAGCGGAGCCAAAGATTCCGAGAGCGAACCCGATAAGGCTCCGGGCTCGCCATCCCAGCTCAGCGGCAGGTCCGACGCGTCGCAGACCAACAACCAGCACGTTCCGTTCTCGATTCTATCTCCGGATCCTCACTCGCTGGCAGCTGGAGACCAACCCGTCGGTCGCCGTTTCCCCTGGGGCTTTGCAGATCCATATAATGCTGAGCACTGTGACTTTGTTCGCCTGAAGGACTCTGTCTTTTCCGAATGGCGCTCCGAGCTGCGCGAGGCCAGCCGCGTGGTCTGGTATGAGCGCTGGAGAACCAACCGCCTTAACCGCAACGGACAGCCGGCACCCAAGAAGCAAAACTATAGTGGTCGTCAGGGGCCTTATGTTGGCCGTCCCACGCGATAAACGGGCAGTCTCCCCCTTGCTTCTATTCCCATAGCTTTTTTTCCCGCACATACCCCCATTCTTCGCGGCCTAGCACCTCGCAAGGCTTCTTTTCATGTCATACCTTCTGCTTTTCCCCTTCTCTTCTGACCAGCTGTTTCGGAATCCGGAACCTGTACTAGTGTTGTTCATCTATTGTTTGCACCGTAATTTGATAGTCTATCTTGAATTCTGCGTAATTCTGGGAAACAACCTCTGTAGATGAACGTACACATGTATGGCCCCCTCGGCTTCATTTGCAATCTGATAAGCGCATTGGTCAGAGGTCCTCTGCGGCTGAAGCGCTGGTCACCGACGATCTTGAGTTCAGCTGTAGGCCAATAAGAGCCGCTAATCCTTGTGGCAACATAAGAAAGGTGAAGAATCACTAGCTCTCCATAAGTTAGGATAAATACGAGGTGTTATCAAAGATCTCGCTTTGTTCTAACTTTCTTTGTCCTTCTTCCCCTCCTCACCTACACAGATGTAGAGAGAAGGCTTCATTTCTACAAGTCTCAAATGGCCTAGTGGACATCGCACAAAGAAACCCCAAAGTCCAACTCTACTCTTGTATGACCAAAGACCTCTCAGCCCCAAAGAAAAAGAGAAAATTAACCTGTTGAACATTACTGAAATCAAAACAAAACAAATCCCGTTGGACCAACTATGTCCCTCCAAGTGAACGACCCACGGTCGCGAACCCGATCCAAATCCCCTGGCCGCGAGCGCTCACGGCCGCGGTCGCGCGACAGCCGAGTCCCCTCCCCCTCCCCCTCGCCCTCCCACCGCTCACGCCCCACAGCCGTCGAAATCCCCCCAACAAAAAGCTACAATTCTGACGAGGAAGCCGAAATCGAGCGCCAATACAAGCTCATCAGTGAGCGTCGTCGCGAAACAACTGACGAGCCCCGCCCGGTCATTTCGCGCGCGAGAACTCCCCGCTACGACGTAGACCGCTCAGGCTCGGACTCGGAGTCGAAGCGTCGCGAAACAGAGAGCTCAAGACGTCATCGTGATGATCGCTATGAACACTCGGACGGGGAGCGCAGTTCTGCTACGGCTTCGTCGCGGTCGCATCGACGACGGTCCTCGCCTGACCGCGGCAGTCGCGTGAATCACGACTCTGACGACTTGGCTTATGGTGATGCGCCGGGAGTTAATCCTAGCTATGCGCGCCCGAATCGGTATAGCTATTCCCAGCCTACGCAGTTCGTCTCCGCTGCTCCACGACAGCCAGGTTTCCCTGCTGGCTCGGTTGACTGGGCTTCTATACCGGAATGTGAACGGCCTGGACATGTCCCGCCTTCATCGCAGGCGGCGGACCCGGCTACTATGCCTGGCGCATTTCCTGTGGCGTCGACCTATTCGGCTAGCTCCGCCGCTATGCCGGCGTCCGTGATTCCTTCGCTGCAGCATGCTGAATTACCTGGCCCGCAGGCTACGTATGCAGCGACGAGTGCGGGTTATGTGCCTTCGCATTATCGTACGGCCTCGGCAAGTGATCCTGGATATCCACCGCCGGCTGCGGGATATGCGAATCCCGGCGTATACCAGTACGCGCAGTTTGATCCTAGTCTTAAGTATGCCCCCAAGACGGTGCCGACGTCGGGGCCTATGCCGACTTATTCTGCTTCTACGCATGATCAGTTCTACAGACCGATTCCGCAGCAATCACAGAGGCAGTATCAGCCGCAGTCGCAGCAGCAGCAGCAGCAGCCACCTCCAGACCAGTATCGGTACAAGCACGAGCCTCAGAGACAAGAGCCTCGGTTTGTGGAGATCGCGCCTGGTGGGAGTCGGTCGAGTGCTCGTCCGCACAGTCACTCTGTTTCGTCGTCGAATAACCTCGCAGTTGGCGGAGCCACTGCATCTCATTCGGCTAATTCCCCAGCTAGTCCCCTGCTGGAGCCTTATCACGGTACTTACCAATCCATCTCACCCATGCCAACTACGATCGTCATCCCCTCTGTCCACGACGACGATGTCTCGGACCTGGAACCTCTTGACGGCAGAAACACCACCTCAGACTCAAGCCGACGCAGCAAACACCTTCGATCGCACTCCTCCGTCGGCGAGAAAGAATCCCGCTCCCACAGCAAAGACAAGAAAGACAAGGAGCGCGACGACAACCGTCGCACCCGCCCATCAACCAGCCACGACCGCCATGACTCGAGCTCCTCAGCTCTCAGTACCGAACCCCGAGTCCTCGTCTCCCCCACAACCGGCCGCAAACGCGTCTCCTTCTACGACGCCGGCCCAGACGCCGCCGCCATGCAATCAGCCCTCAACCACACTCGCAATATAGACAGCAAACCCATAATCCAAATCCTGCCTCGTCTAACAAGCGACGAGATCCTCCTCTTGCGGCAGGAATACAAAGCCCGCGTGCGCATCCAAGGAAAAGGCATCAATCTCGCCAAACACCTCCGTCTCAAACTAGGAAGTTCCTCCTTCGGAAAAGTTTGTTACGCAACCGCCCTCGGGCGCTGGGAGTCAGAGGCATATTGGGCAAACTGCTATTACCAAGCCGGGACATCACGTCGCGAGTTACTGATCGAGTCCCTGATGGGACGGTCGAATGCCGCGATCCGCGAAATCAAAAACTCGTTCCGCGACACCCGTTACGATAATAGCCTCGAGCGCTGTATGCGCTCTGAGTTACGGGCTGATAAGTTCCGCATTGCAATTCTGCTTGCGCTTGAGGGTCAGCGGCAGGATGAGCGCGAGCCGCTCGATAAACGGCTCGTGAGCGATGATGTACATGATTTGCATCGTGCGATTGTGAGGGAGGGGGGTGAGACTGCCATGATTCATATCATTGTGCTCAGGAGTGATACGCATCTGCGTGAAGTACTGCGTGCTTATGAAGATAATCACGGGCATAATTTTGCAAGGGCTATGATTTCCAAGTCGAGGAATTTGGTAGTATGTGTTCGATGTTTTCCCCTTCGGTTACTATTGACTACTGAAATCGAAACCGAATCTGAATTTGAATCCAACTAACCTATACACCAGGGAGAAACCCTGGCTCACATTCTCAACGGCGCAATCAATAGACCAATGCGCGACGCCCTCCTCCTCCACCAAGCCCTACGCGAATCCCGCCCCGGACGTGAGCGCTCGGAGCTACTCATCTCCCGGCTTGTGCGTCTGCATTGGGAGCCGAGACATCTTGATCTTGTTAAGAATGAGTATCGGCGCAGATACCATGAGCGGTTGGAGGAGGCTATTGCGGAGGAGATTTTGTCTTTGAATGGCGGAGAGGATTGGGGAGAATTTTGTATTGAGTTGGCGCGGAATGCTTAAATGGGGTCTTTACAAATGTGTGTTGGATATTGTACTATTTTCTTCATTATGCTCTTGTTGGCTGTTACTGTAGTTTTTGCTGACCGTTTACAAGGTGGTCTTTATTCCTGCTCTGCAGGCTGGGATTTAATGTTGTAGTGTGCTCTTGATAATTTGCGTAAATCATCTCCATTCCTTTTTTTTTTTTTGCGGTGTGTATGCACTGTATTTTTTTGTTACTGATCGTCCTATACTCTTATGTTCTACTCATAAACTGTATTACATGGATGTGATTCCTTTGGGCTACTTCTTAGGGCTAGGAGTTTCCGACATCGGCTGGTAAAGATAGTCATAGGGCGTGCTCAAAATCACTCTCCTCAGGAAGGTTAGCATGGAGTTCCGTTCCAGGCAATGATCAATGTGGCAGATTGATTCGAGTCTCCTGCTGGAATTTGAGATTATCGCATAGACACTTCGCTGTTTGCTCTACGCTATAATCTTCCAAGCGCCAAAACCACTCGGGTGGGGTGCTTGACACGATCATAATGTTGCTTCTTGTTCTTCTTGTTCCTTTCACGTTAATTTTGACATCCATGCTTTCTTCTATTTCCCGTGGGGTGAACACTTCCCTTGTCAGGTTTAGTTGTCTAAAAATAATGACTTAAGTGCTTGCATTTTTTTATGGATTTGGTCAACCAGGGTCTCTGTTATGATTCATCTCTTGGACAGACCTTAGGAAGCATATTCTAGACGGGTATACTTGCTATACAACTGAGTTAGTAGGTTAGTGGATTCTTGATCGGCAGGAGTAGCGTAAGCCCTATAGGGTAACATCATACCTAAACTGAAATAATCCCGCAAGTACGCTTCTAATTATGTACATAGTTGTCCCAAGCACGTTGCCTTTTACCTACAACACCTTATACCAGTGGAGCACGCGATTTCACTGTGTGAACAAGTCAAGTCCCGAATACGCTCATTTACAAAGTCACGGGGTGTATTAAAATCCTTCAAGCGATGACATAGTAGCAAAGTCGGTCATGGGCTAGAATTTTATGCAATAGGATAAAAAAAAGGAGATACTACATTTCGGGGAACAGACACCGAAAGCTTAGATTTTGGTCTCGGACTTCTCTTTAATAAGGGGGTTCTGTTCTTGGACAAGGTAGAGACCTATCACGCAGCAAGGAGGGTTCAATAGGAAGTGGATCGTGAACTCCACAGATGCTGCATTTTGCACTACGTCGTGCACGCGACTTCAACCCATGTACTTCGCATTTAATACAAGGTAAAAAAGTACCTGCAATATAAGAGTCTAGGCCTGATGGAATTTTGAAGACATTTTTGTCTCCGATCAGACTGTCGGGACCAACGATCTGCAGAGATGAGCTTCTCTGCAAGGGGTTATTCTGATTTGGGAGAAACTTGTGGATTTGTTTTTTTGGGGGGGAAATTGCAGATTTCCGAGATCGTCTGTACCCAAGATACCGTGGCTAGCCAACTATCTTCAATCCATGCGCTCATCGGTTGAATGCCACGCTGCTGATCGCCATCTCCCCGCAGATTTCAGGGCACGGAAGTCCAGAGACTTGACACTACCTGCATTAAATCAAAAGCCGACAGCAGATATGTCCTCATGATGCTATCACGAAAGACACGAGCTTGGCACTTGTCCTGACTCGTGGCTTTTTATTTGCCCTCGGCCTATCGGCGATGCCCTCAAACCACCGTCTCTTTTTCGTCTGCAGCTCTTATTTCTTACATCTTTCACCACACCCCCCTTCTCCACACCTTTATTTGCGCCATGCCGCTGTGTGGACTGTCATATGCAAGGTGCGCACCGATCCCGACTCAAATTGTTCCAGTTCTTTTGTCTGTCTAGTGACGCCACTCAATTAGTCGATCCGCTTAGACCGCTGCTTGTCCTCCATGAGACCTGAAGATATGCCGCTTCTTCCAGAAACCGCTAGACTGCGGCTTGGACTTTGAATTTGAACGTTGCCATTCTAGGAAAGTCCCCAATTTTCATGGTCCTGACGACCCCCGTAAGATTTATTTCTCCCCCCTATTGGCATGAATCGTCCTCCACATGGGCGTTGACGGAGGTCAGCAGATTAGCATTATTGAGATTCATTGAATCATGCAGGTCTGCTGTTCCCAATTTTTTTTTATCCTGCCAAGCTGCATCGATATTGCCCCGTAGAGCACATTCTGGCATGCGGGTCTCGGGCCTTTGACTGCCCCCCCCCTCTCTTTGTAGATTGGAGTCGACTATAAAAATGCCACTGGCATTCCTGTCCTGTAAACACTGATCCCTTTTTTCAGTCGTCCCGTCAGAGTGCTTGTGCAGCCGGGTCTCTGAGAGCTCATTCCCTTTTCCTGCAAATAAATAACAATAGATTTGCCCCCTGGACTTTGTTTATCTTCCTATTTACCCGTCCAACTCTGCCATAATGCAGCTGTATCGCCTCAGTCTGCTGGTCGTTTCCTTTGTGTCCTCTGTAGGAGCTCAGTCGACCTTCTCCCCAGCCCGCCCCCCAGCTATACCCCTCGCTGTTAGGTCACCGTACCTAAGCACTTGGCTTGATGTAGGAAGTGATGGAGGTAATGGCGGCTACTTGGCCGGTCAATGGCCTGTCTTTTGGCAGTAGGTTGATTTTTTAATCCTCTGAGCTATGCAAAAACTTTCAAATTGATCAAATATCAACAGAAACCAGGTTACTGGGTGGGCGGGCTTGATCCGCGTCGATGGCAACACCTATACTTGGATGGGTCTGCCCGGATCCAATACTGTCAATCAGACTGCATTTGAATATACTTCGACTAAAAGCATCTTCACTATGAACGTGGAGAATAAAATTGAAATGAACATAACTTTCTTGTCGCCTGTTACACCCACCGATCTCAAGCGCCAATCCCTCGTTTTCTCTTATCTCAATGTTGAGGTCTCTTCTCTTGATGGCCAGAAGCATAATGTGCAGGTCTATGCGGATATCTCTGCAGGTTGGTCACCCGGCTCTACCGATTTTTTTTTTAAAAAAAACAAAAACAAAAACATTTTGGCGACTGACGGAAATTTAGAATGGGTATCGGGCGACCGAAATGCCATTGCAGAATGGGAGTATGGTACCACTGATGGTGTTGCCTACCACAAGGTATACCGACAGACTCAACTGGCCTTTTCTGAAAAGAACGAGCAGGGTGAATGGGGTAACTGGTACTGGGCCACCGACGATTCGAAAGGCATGACACACCAGTCTGGTGCGGCTACCGACGTCCGTGGTCAGTTCACGAGAAGTGGGAAACTCATCAATGGCGGCGACACCAACTTCCGGGCTATTTCTTCCACCTGGCCTGTCTTTGGATTCTCATCTGATCTGGGCTTAATCGACTCCACGCCTGTCAGCACACTCTTCTCTCTTGGTCTGACACAGGATGAAGCCGTTCAATACGAAGGTGCTTCAAATTACGCCCCGGTCCCGTCCTTGTGGAAGAGCTATTTCGATACCGAGTTGGCTGCTCTTTCATTCTTCCACCAGGATCATGCCGAATCGAGCAATCTTGCAAGCTTTTTCGACAGCAAGGTGGCTCAAGATTCAATCGCCACAGCTGGCCAAGACTACCTCACTATTACTTCGCTCTCAGTTCGACAGGCATTCGGTGCTACCCAACTCTGTGGTACAAAGAATCAAACCTATCTGTTCCTGAAGGAAATTTCTTCTGACGGCAACATGAACACTGTGGATGTTGTCTTCCCAGCCTACCCGATTTTCTTATACGCCAACCCCGAACTCCTGAAGCTAGTTCTTACTCCTCTGTTTGAGAACCAGGAGGCTGGGAAGTACCCAAACAAATATTCTATGCACGATCTAGGCTCGGCTTACCCTAATGCCACAGGTCACTCTGATGGCAATGACGAGAAAATGCCACTAGAAGAGTGCGGAGATATGCTCATCATGTCTTTGGCATATGCGCAGAAGTCGGGTGACTCTGACTTTTTAAATAACCACTACGCTCTTCTCAAGCAGTGGACCAGTTATTTAGTTGAAGACTCGCTTTACCCTGCAAATCAGATCTCAACGGACGACTTTGCTGGCTCCCTAGCGTGAGTTAGCCCTTTCTCCTCTGGAAGTTTCAAACCTAACCAGCATAATTAGCAACCAAACCAACCTCGCACTCAAGGGCATGATCGGTATTCAGGCCATGGCAGTTATCGCAAACCAGACTGGCCACACTGCTGACGCTGCTAATTACTCGAGCATCGCCAAAGACTACATCACTCAGTGGCAGGACCTGGCAATTGCTAAGAATGCTAATCCTCCCCGAACGACCTTGTCGTACGGCGACACCGCTAGCCATGGTAGACTACAACCTCTAATTTCTAGTCCGTGGAGTCTTGCTCACAATTTCTGCAGGTCTGCTCTACAATATCTTCGCCGATGCCCAGCTGGGCCTGAATCTTGTTCCACAGTCTGTCTATCAGATGCAGAGCGACTTCTACCCAACTGTTGCGAACAAGTACGGTGTGCCTCTAGATACTCGTCACACATACACGAAAGGTAAGAGCTTTGAAGGCTTACGACGAATTGTAAAGTACTCACAACTCAATAGGTGACTGGGAGTGCTTTGCAGCAGCGGTCAGCTCAGTCAATACTCGGACCATGTTCATCAAGGATCTCGCCACCTGGATCAACGAGACGCCGACAAACCGACCCCTGACTGATCTATACGACACCATTTCAGGAAAGTAAGTTATTCTACCCACGAGCCTGTAATTATCCTTGCTGATGAACTTCTAGCTACCCCCAAAACACCTTCATCGCTCGCCCCGTCATTGGTGGTTCATTCGCTCCTCTCATTGTCAGCTAGCGGACGACTCCGCTTCTTGTTGAATTTTTACACTTTTGCTTTCTGGCCTTTTGCCCGGTTGATCGCCTTTTCTCCCGCAAAGACGCTCGGTCAGAAGTTCTTATCCAGTATATCTCCCACCGATATAATAGTGGAAGACGTACCGGATACCTTTTGTTCGCTTTGTATTGTCTTTTTCTTCCTTATACCCAGCCATAGCATTGCCTTGTGACGTGCGCTGTGCGACTTTCGTTGAAATACTCGCATGCAAGTCTATTTTAGTAGGCGATGACTCTCGCACATGCATGAATCTGTGATTTCCACCCTCTCTCCATGTTGTATGGCACCTGTGCAGATGCTTCGGCATCGGAGTAGATTACGGCTTAATAACAAATCCGTGCTGCTATCCTTCACTGCACGAAATATGCGGGGTTTTAGTAACTGAACCTTCGTTTATTTTGTATTGAACTTGTGTGCGATTTTGATCATCCAGTCTAAGCTTGAGTGCAATTGGCCTATCATCTTGACAATTGTAAGTGCTGCTTTTTAACTTGATACTTTCCAATCCCGTGGGGGATTGGCCAGAGATTTGGATACATCATACTACAATTTTGGCCATATGGCAGCCTTGAGGAGTTGGGGAATCACCAAGTGATCTATTGGGAAATGATTTTGTTCTGGCAAGGTAAATTCGAAAGCAGTATATATAGAGCTCTCAATCAGAAATGAGGATCTTTACAACTAACGACCGTATGTGACAGACCTTCACATATTTAGGCAAAGAGAATCCAGAATGGGAGCAGTATCATCATTCGGAGTCGTCATCCCAAGCATCAAAAGACCGAATGAGATCTGATGTCAATTAGCCAGACTACCTAAAAGATGAAATGAACGAAAAGAGAGAACTTACCATAGTAAAGCATCATGCCTTCAAGATGCACATCCAAGCGGATCCGCTCGTCCACAGTGTGAATATTCAGCGATCCGCCAGCCCGCGACGGGCTCCAACGGTAAATGTTCTCCGACAAAGCCCAATAGAAACGCGTATCCGTATTTCCAGTCATGATATCTCCCGTTACAACAACTGTGGGCTTAGATCCAGACGCAGATTTGGCGAGCGGGTTCGGGTGTGACTCAAAGACACCACGAGCCACTCCAGCAAAGTGCGCCCACACCTTCGAAGTTAGCGGGTCGGTTGGAGAGATCGGAGCCGGGGAAAGAGGTATACTAAGAGGGGACAGGGTCAGAGTACGGTCGCTCACATCTCCTTCGGGTGACTCCGGCACACCGGGAAAGGCAACACATAGGGAAAGGTTGTGAGATTCAGCAATAGGGCTGATGATTCGGACAGCTCGCTCACGTAGCTCATCGGGCGTCTGGTGTAGTGCCACGCGGTAGTTGACGACTGCAGAGATCTTCTCTGGCAGCGCGTTTGTCTTGACACCGCCGTGGATCAGGTCTGCGGCCTGCGACGTCTGCATTGTATAGCGAACTGCGGGACCGCGGGAACTGGCAACGGCCTCGCCTAGCGCAGCGGGATCGCCTGCTGCCAGCTTCTCGGATAGCCACGTCTCAACATGGTCGGGTGAATACCGTGCCTGGCACTCCAACATCCCGTGGGCGGGGTGGTTGGTATCTAGCCAGGCGGGGAACAGCTCCTTCCGTTCCAGCTCGTACAAAATCTCCGCCATGATACCGATACCGGTATGTGCGGGCGGGATCGAGCTGTGGCCACCAGGCACGGCAAGATCGATGATGAGGTCGAGACTACCCTTCTCGCCGACAGCTGGGAGAGCATACAAGATCTCGCCGTTAGGGTCGGATGCATCACCAAAGCTCTGCAGACCCATTCCGCCCTCGTCGAGAATGAATTCAAAAGAATTCTTGCCGTACTTTTCCACCAGTGCTGCTGAGATTGCCCCGGCGCCTAGGAAGCCGTGTGATTCCTCGTCGAACCCAAAGGCAAACAGCACCGTGCGCTGTGGCTGCCAATCCTGCGAGAGTAGATCTTCGGCTACGGACATCAATCCGATAAGAACGTTTTTGCAGTCGCTTGCACCGCGGCCCCAGATCCATTCACCATCAAAAACGCCTGCGAAGGGCGGGTAGGTCCAGTCTGATGGATCGTCGATCGGGACGACGTCCTGGTGGGCCATGAAGAGTAGCGGCTTGCGTGAAGTGTCAGCACCCTCGAAGGTAAGGACTAGGCCGAGGCGGTTAATGTGCTCAACCTTGCCACGGTTGTGTCTAGATGATTCATTTAGTATTTTCTCCTTTCCATTGGCGGCAGGCAATGTTCAGGAATTGGACAGTTTCTTACACCAGAGGGAACAACTCCTTCAAGAGCGATTGGAATTTGACTACAGGCTCAAATACCTCATCGTATGGATCTTCTATAGAATCACCTACGGTGGTTGGGATCTGCACTGCGCGCGAGAGCCGCTTGGCCTGGCGCGCACGGAAGGCATCGTCGGAAAGGAAGGTCTGCGACGAGTGGAAGCCATCGTTTGGGGTGCTGACCTTGGGTGGCTGTGGACAGATTTCCCGTGTAGGTGGGCTCGATAGCGGGTTATACTGCCAGTCCGACAGGTCGGTGTTGGGGAAGAGATACTGCTGTGTGGGGATAGTGAGAGCTAGTGATGGCACTGCGACTCGGCTAAGGAGGGCGAGGGGTTTCATGGTCGGATTGACTTAATTGAGTGTTCTCCACTGGAAGTATCCAAAGAACTTGAAAATTCAACACAAAAAGATTCACAATAGCTTGAAGAGAGCACGTCAAATGCCTATCTTATCTTCTTCCCCTCTCCCCACCTCGGCTGGCGGCCATTGCCGATAGCGAATTGCCTTTTCAGGATGGCCATTTTGCCCAGTGTTGGGGCAGTTAAACAAGTAGGCATTGATCATTCTCGGATTGACAATCAAGTTCAATTCTTGGCGTTTTCAAAAAGATTTAACTTGGTTAATATAACTCGATAGACTTGCGGGGCCCATTTTCGTTCCTTTCTCTGTTGCGGAGTAACTTGCAATAATAGCTCGGGGCTTTATATTCAAGCTAACATAGAGTGAGCACCCATATCTCATAAACCTGAAACAGTGTGATATCTGTGTCTACGGATGTTTCCCGGCATTTCTCTCGATCGACTTTTGCTGCTTGGTACCCAAAGGGAAGAAAACGAAATAAATTTGATCAGCTTGTGTTCCATTCCCACAAAATTGAACTCAAAATAAGGATTCCCTCCATCTATATAGCTATAAGTAGTGGTGACACCAAGCTGTTCACTGGAGTGTGATACCAAGTAATAATTCCTAGCGGTACCCTTGGGTGTTATCATTTCCTCGTAGAAGGGTACATATGCTTGACTGACTTGTTCTCGTTGAAAATAGAGAGATGATCATCGGTATCGTATCGTGTTCGTTCCAGCTGATATCAAGTACTGTGAGACTACATCTCGATGCGATTGACTTGTATTTCTTATCAACTTGGACCTCATTGTGAGATCAGAAACAGTTGACAAATTCCTACCCCTGACCTTGCTTGATTTACGTAGCTCACCGGCTCCTATTCCAATCTGAAACGTTGACTCTGCTGATATACGTAGCACTGGGAGTTTCCAGATTTCCTCAAAGAAAGTATCTCATGAAAAACATGGCGTTTTGCGGGAAGATCCCGGCGGGCATCATTTAAACTCACAATCCAACACGATTAAGAATAATCCTATACGATTAAGCTAATCCATTACGATTTAGCTAATCCGGTAGTCAATCTTTTCTCCCCACCTGTGTGGGTTCCGTGTCCCTGGGTCAAAATTAAGGTACCCGATTCTGGGTCAGAGTAAATTGCAACTCAACCTCTTACATTCACAGCGACGATGATGAGGGATTTTAAGTTAGGGGGCTTAGTGACTAACCTGATAAATAAGGCATCCAACTATGCAGAAACTTCGGCTCAACCATGGATCCAAAATAGACTTGGCACTCAATTGTGATGTCCAGTTCCCAAATAGGCCATACCACAAACATCAAGAACTGTTTTGGATACCTTGCAGAATCTGTAAATGACCTACGGAGTAGATATATCCCGAATAGCAGAATAACTGAAAACCGGAACACCTGAAAAGGAGAAACAAGGGGTCATTGGCGATGACCAGCATTGACCAGAAATGTCGGATTCCTCACAAATGCAACACCCTTAAAACCGCTCTATACTTAATTAAGACAAGCGGGAAGCTAGAAACACGCGAAGTGTTCCTTGAGTTTATCCCATTTGACCCTCAAAAGCTCCATTCGCCTTCATTGGTTGCTCAAAAAGGGATCTAGTCGCCACACCTGGGGATGCCGATCAGGTGATCGTCCACTCATAAGCCAATGAGACCCGTAAAAGCCCCAGTGCGAGTTCACTAGACATGTCGCTTAGTGTTTCAGGTTTATCACTTGCTACTTCCGGTCGCTCAATTGGGCATCGATGTCATCTGTCCAAGCCTTACTCCACAGAAAAACACTCGAAAAAATGGAACCCGACGGGTGTTCCCAACACGAAACCAACGGCCACTTTAGATGGGACTTTTTTTTTTCTCCTGTCACCACTCCCTCTTTCACAAAATTTCTTCTTTGAATTCTCACATCTTCTTTCTTTTATAAAACAAACTTTCACTCTCTAATTCGTTGATCGAATATTTCTCCCACCAACAATCATGCGTACCAACTATATCTTCTCGGCTTTTGCCCTAGCTCTTCCCGTATACTCGCTTGGCCCCACAGCTAGTATGGGCTGTTACTCCGCCATCGAATCGTTCCAGAACCAGGGTCCCTACACCTATCAATCACCAGGACATTGCCAGGCCCAATGCGCCGATAAAAATTTCAAGGTCGCTGCTCTGAGCCGAGGCAACATGTGCTACTGCGGCAACAAAATTCCCTCCGAGTCCGTCAAGGTCGACGACGATAAATGCGATATCGCCTGCACCGGATGGGCTGCAGGAAGCTGTAAGTTGCTCACAATGTCATAGAGTACGATAACAAGACCATCACTGACAAGGAATTTTTCTGATGTAGGCGGTGGGAAGGATACCTTCAACATAATTCAGGCGGCTGAGGACTTACAACCCTCTCCTTCCGAGAATGCCTCCACTACTATTGCACCAACTGCTGCTACCGCAGCTGGCGGAATCGTTGTCGCCGCCTCGGCAGCTCGCGCACCTATTGGCATCGTGACCACGGCCTCGGCCATAAGCTCTAAGAGTGGTAGCGCCGTGTCCATGTCTGCTACTGCCTCCGTCGCCGTTCCAACTGCCTCTCCCACGCCCACGAACAACGCTGCTGGAACAGTCCGCGCGGGATCATCGTTGCTCGGCGCTGCCATTGCGGGTATCGGTTTGCTTCTGTGAAGCTCTCTACCTTCATGTCTTGTGATTGAACCTGCATACTTAATGTCGTTTTTGTTTCTTGTACCCTACATCGCCTAAATCGCATGTACAGTTTATACCCCTCGCTGGTTCGTCAACAGGGCCTTCGTGATATCGGTGATGGCATCATGTTCCTGCTTATCCTTCTTCTGCTGGATCCGCTGGTCGGATTTGGGTTGCATTTACTGGCTGTTTTGGGATGGGCATTTACACTCGTTTTTATCATACTAGCTTTCATTGTGTATTACCGGATGGACTTCAAAATAAAAAATTTCGGGAATTCAGCATTTTTTGTCGATGGCCTTGATTAGAAAATCATACTGTGGATACTTCTATAGGAGCGATTTACATGCGCTAGCGAACCCAGAAGACACACTTTGCCGATCTTGGAATGTCTGAGGCAGCCTATCTGCCTTTGGAGGCTGTAAATTTATTTTTTAAAAAGATTTTCAAATCTAAACTACACTTGACCACACACGGCCTGTTCAGCAATGGTCAGGCGAAAAGAGAAACAAAACAACATCGATTTTTGTCGCATGTGTGCGCACGTCTAGATGTTTAAACCACGAACCTGGGGTCACAGCCATCTACAGCCTAGACTAGTTATTCACGCTTATGATTCTCCTCCAAAGTATTTCAGAATAGATACCGAAATCTTCGTGGGTATTTCGCGTTTTCATAACCCCGCGGGTGGCGTAAGCCACTGATAGAGCCTCAAACCCCACCTGCGGCTCTGCCGTTGGAATCTTCAAGTAGTCAACTCAGAAAACAGCCATTTCAATTCTAGAGAAATGCACCTCAGCGAGATCGTTTGCACTTTGAGGTCCATCACACAAAACTCACCCTTCACGTGAAATTCGTCTCACCATTGTCACTTCCAAATGTCTTTAGCCCTCATTTGCCTAAGAGTCTTCATGGCATCTCCATAAAAAAGCATTCTGATAAAGAAGGTGAGCTGTCTGTTCACCTTTTTTTAGCTGCCTAATCACTACCTAGCTCTGGTGACTTAATCGTTCAAATCAACACGTTCCTTCGGGCCTTCGGTCTTATTGCCTAGCTTCTCGATTAAAAATCCGCTTCCCCAACCGGTCAGGTTGTATCACATTAGACAATGATTTGGGTGTTCTCGCTACCGGCTATAATCTTGTCGTCAAATTGTACACAGGTCAGAACGTGTCCTTCGTGTGCTTGAAAAGCAATGTGCATCGGATTTGTATTCTTCCACATCGGGTTTGTTTACCAGAACACAGTGAATGTGTGTTCCAAGTATTGTTTGTCAAAGTGTAGTTAGGCAGAGTTATGATTAGTAGAAAGAAAGGGGAGTGAGATTCCGGGATATTGGCCTAAACAATACGGCGCAGGCGCGATTCTTTTTGATATCATCGTTACGGCACCCCAGGCTATTCCTGGGCATGTTTGGGGGCGTTGACCCCCCGGCTTCACGATAATCACGGCCCAAAAAGAGATTCCATGCTCTATCTAAACTTAAAGATCAACGAAATAAGTTTTGCTGCTCTGCTGCTCTACTGCTTTCTGTCCTTGCGCTCCTGTTGCACTAGTCGTTTTTCAGCACTGTTGCACTTCACACATTCGCTCAATCGTCGCGGGAATGAATCTAGATGGATCGGGCATTGGACCACATGGCCTAAATTAAGGCATCGCCAAGTCAGAGGGTGCTGTTCGGGACAGTGGTGGTCGGTTCGGAGTGTAAATTTTTTCGCAACCTTCGTTACGACCTTGGTCTCCTTCGGACTGCGACTTCTTTTCTTACCTCTACCCTTGCCCTTATTCCTGCCCTTGCCGTTACTCATTCCGAGAGTAAGAACCTAGTGCTGAAGTAAACAAGTTCCTTGAAAGTCTGGTTTGATGCAACTAGCTGGTTCTTGGTGCTTAGCAATTGATCTGGGTAGCTAAATTCAAGAAAAACCTCGGTTTTTATACTATAGGTCATTTCATCATCCGGTGTGTACCATGTCGGGGTTATCCGCAGATCTAGCATCTTGTTAGAGTATTCGGCATGGCATCGTTATTTCTTTGTCTAGCTGATGCACTCCGAAACTTGGAAAATGAAAAGCATTCTTTGAACCTGAGTGCGAAAACCATCAGCATCACATACCAAAGATGCCAAAGCCTTTGACAAAACCTATGTGATGACCTTGCGGTGCCGAGGCTGGCAACATGTGATGGAATCTACGAGCTCCATGCTCATCTCTCATACAATTCATACAAAGCCATTGATGTCTTGCATTTTGGCCTTGACTTTGACTCAGTCCATTCTTTCACTCTAGGTTCTACTTGGCTTAACCTATGCCTAATTATCTCACTGTAAAACACCCACACAGCTCCCTTCTCCTACAATCTTTATATTATGAAAGGTCATTCTCTACCCCAAAAGAAGCAGCTTTGAAAGGGCCTTGGACAAGGTTGATGAATCCCGTTGAAAAGATTGATAAAGAGAACACTATGGACGAGGTCAAACAACAGTCTGCAATTTCTTGCCTTGATTTCATTGCACATCTCTAGAATTAGTATACAGCTCATATGGCTGGACTGACAGATATGAAGAGGTGCCGTCTGGCAGCAAGCAATGTGTGAAGCATCAATTCATAAATCTCAGCATTATGGAGATCGAGAAAAAAGAAACGGAAGGGGAATCGTAAGGCGTTTAACAGTTGTTCATCGTAGAACAACCTGTTGAAAGCCCAAAAAAGGTATGACCTCAAACTCGCAATCAAAGCAGAAACCAAGAAATAAACTCCGAAAGCGCCATGCCATGTGCTTCCTGGGTATCTCAACAAACGCTGAAACGCAAGAGCAAAAAACCACTGCCTGTAGATTGTCAGTGCGTTAAATCAATTTGTTGCCTTCTCCATGTTCGGTGGAAGTGGTCGGCCCTCTCTGTAGAAATAACACATTAGACCTGGTTCTATACACACCAAGGGTGAGTAGATGAATAGGTATGATAACTGACCTTAGATACTTCTTCTTCAAGTTGCGAGCACGATCTTTGCAATTGACTTGAGAACGACGCTCAAGCATGGGACCACCTTCAGACGGAGGACAAGCGTTATCTTGCTTCTTTATGGCGGCATAGGCAGTACCGTAAATCCCCATGAGATAGATGAGACGTTCATCTTCTTCCTCTGTCCATCTGTGACTGGCCTTGGGAACTCTGAGATTGGCCATCGCAGCCTGGGAATTGGAGGTTGCCCAGCGGCTCTGGGTGCTAGGGGGCGGTTCGTGCTGTTCAACGGCGGTCTCTTCATCAGTGACATAGTCACTATCGGCCCTTTGGGCCCCTTCTGAAGATTGTGTCGAGTTAGAATTGTGGTGGAAGGATTTGTTGATATGCGATTGTAACTGTTCTCCGGCAGACACCGCATTTTCCTGGGGGCGCTGGCGCTTCGCGGCAGGCAAATTTTGCTGGGGCTTTTCGACCCTGCGTCTGGGACCAACGTTCTGAGTGTTCTGCTCAAATTCAATGTCTGACTCGTCGCTCGAGTCATCGTCCGAGTCATCAACATTGCGACTTCGCTTGCCCAACACAGTGAAACTCCCTGGACCTTGAGTGTCATATTGGCTTATTGGAGAAACAACTCCAGCATTATTCTGTTTGTCGAGGAAGCGCCGACCGACTGGAACTGATCGCTGTGTTTTCTCGTTTCTGGGTGAATCAAAGAAGCGAGGATTGTGGCTGATATGGCTGATTCTAGCGGAGTTAGGGGGGCTGGTCGATGTAATAATATCAGGTTCTGGGCCCTGTCCGAGGTCCAATTCCTCGTCATTGTTTACGTATGTAGAGTCATCCCCTATGTATGTGTATCTCAACTCAGGAGATTGTTGAATTTCAAAAGACTCGGTGGCTCCGATACTAGCAGAAGGGCCAGGATTATTCGCTTGGGCTTCAACGCTTGTGTCCGTAGGAATTTTTTGCGCCTGCAGTTCAACGGTAGAGACAGGCTGTTGATGACTAGTAGCCTGGCGCCTCAGAAGTGCCGCGAACGAGGCTGGGTTTCGGAAGTTGCTATAAATGAAACTTAGTAGCCACATAGATAGAGAATGAAACCGTAGAGTGAACATACCTTTTGGACTTGCGCCGACTCGGATCTTTGGCTGCCAGCTGCGTAACTTGGTCGGAGACACTTTGTTCTGGAACATTTTGAGTGGGGCCTGGCCGGGAAGCGGTGTTTCCAGATATTTTGTCCACCTCGGGCGCCCTATCTGCATCCGTTGCCGTGTTCACCGCAGAGGCTACGTTGACCAATCGTGCTTCTTGCGGAGATTGGGTCTGATGGGGCAAGTGTCCATGGCGAGGTCTGTCACCGCTTGGAGGCACTGTAGATGTCTGACGCCGACTGGGAGTTCTAGCAGGAACAGAAGTAAGACGACGAGTTGCGGATGAGTTATGCACTTTTTCTGATAAGCGTCTGATGTCTTCCTTGATTTCTCTGTCTCGAGCGTAGATCCAACGTGCAAGGTCCCGTTCAAATGAGCGCCACCTGTATGCCTTTTTCAAACCATCAAGATCAACGAAATCCCACTCGGAAATTTCCTCGTAAAGCTCGTTGAACCTGTCGCTGACAGCGATGGAAAACTTCTCAGGGATGTGTTCGGGAAGATGGCCATCATCGTCCTGCAAGATACCCGGCAAATTAAACCCTCGGAAGGAGCCAGGCATACTCTGGAAGTCATCGTCGCTGGGCGCTAGGTCCAAAGCAAAGACCTGTCTCAAGATGGAGAGTGGTTTGAAGTCTTTCTCATGTTGGCGTCTTTCTAATTCCATGATGAAAAACTGTGTGCGGATACCCAAGGCAAGATTGAACGTGGCCTCGCTGGTACTACTCGCTCCAACTGGCCTAGACATAGAACTTTCTGCAAGGGTGCTCATGACACACGCTGGAAACTGGAAATCCAGCTGTTCAATGACTTCCGACTGGGACTCGGTCCCGACACTGGGAAGGAACATGTTCAAGGTCAACAGAGCACAGTTTGTCATGTAGATTTCTGCGATTGACGCATCCAATTGTGCGGGCGAAAGCAAACGACGAGCCTGAGAGATGTCCAAGAATGACTTGCCATCACGAGAAAGAGGAGACTCTTCCAATTCATCGGTCAGCCCTTCCACGGATCGCCTCAAGCGTTTGCGGTTCGGGTGATTAGAATCGACAAGCATTTTCGACTCAGCTGCAAGGCTGTCCGGATTCATGTCTGGGCGAACCAACAGACTCATCACAAGGGTCGCCTGCTGCTGAACAAACGGCAGGTGGGTCGCGATTTTATCGCTGACTTGAGAATCGACCGGATCCACGTCATTGTGAACCAGGGTCGTACCAGAGAAATTGGTATGACCTTCATGGTTCTCAGGCGACTCTGGTATCACATGCCTTGGTAATTTGAGCTCGGGAGAAGAGGTAGAAGGCTCTTCAGTTAGCCCAGTCAGCCCTGAACCAAGTCAGAACACATTCAAAAGTGAAACCGAAATAACGAAGTATAAAATCTCGAAAATGAGGCAGCGAGCCAACAAAATGAAGAAAGTATCGAGCGAGTCACGAAGTGAGGAATATACAACCATGCATAGTTCTCAATCCACAGTTGCCTGAACCATCCACTGGGCCACACCGAAATGACAGGGTAAATACTTACAATTTCGCTCCAATGATCCTTTGTTTGGCATAAACCCTGCATTTGCCTCTCTGCTCCGACTTCGTGTCATGCGGGACCCCGTGATGCGTGCCATGGAAGGCGGTGGGCGGAGGGCAGGACACGTGCTTCAAGCGTATCCACGCGTTGTTGTTATGGGCTTCTTTTCGCACGTTCTGATAAAAGTAAATAACCTTCAAGAAACCCAATCAGACAAAATCAAAAGTTGACTGATGGCCGCTCGATGAGATGGATGGCGAGTGCGATGGAGTGTTGTTGAAATTCGGATGATGGGGAGCAGGGTCTCAGGGTTTTCGGGGCTGCGTTTGTCGGAAAACGGATAAATTTTAAAGCGGTAGGCGTTTGGCTGCCTTAGGCAGCTTTGATGCCTGAATTAACTATCCTTGTCTCAGGAGTGAGCCTGGAACATAATGCATCAAGCCCTACCCCGAACCCCAAGCCCTAAAGCCCTATTTCGACCTAATTAATACCTCAATTGTAATCCCGTAGATAAATCAGGCCGCTACCTCCTGATAGACTACATAAAACCATTTAACCGCTAGGCCAAAAGAATGTAAGGACAAACAGAACATCTGTTTGTTTTTGGAGCGGAATTTACGGCGTACATTAGGCCCTAACATCCGTTAGGGACCACACAATGGTGTGTCCAAGATCACATGATCAATGCCATGTTGCCTTGTGGTCACTTGAGGACCTTAGGGCCTAGTGTATATACTGCTGCTGCGAGAATCGGACATTCTGGTTATATTCCGATTATTGCTATGTTGATTTGGCCCAGCGGTTAAATTGTCTTGTGCAATCTCTCAGGAGCTGGTAGCCCGAGTCGAGGACAAGATCACAGACTTTCAAGTTTGAATTAGAGATGATTCCGATTTTTTTACCATTGGAAGACAAATTGAAAAAATTTTTAGATGACGTGACTTTGGTGGATAATTCGACGAAATTTTTGTGTCCGGAGCCATCAAAATTGTATTTAGTTCATGAGCATAATCTACCCACTGAGTGCGGAGTACTCAGCACGGATGTCGATCAGTGAGGTCTATATTGCATTTGTGCCTATGAGATTGAGCATTCGAGGGGAAAGAGAAACATTGTGAATGTGACCATCGCGTGGGCCAGGTACGTAATTATATGATAAAAGCAGCTCCAGGTATGTCACAAGATGCTTTCATTCGACTTTTACAACAAATCAACCGCCAAAAACCGCATCAAGTTTCCGTGAACACATACAACCGCGTATATGCAGCGCTTTAAAAGACGGCTTCAATAAAGTAGATGACGCCAAACACAAGGAATGCCACAGCACCGCCCAGAGTCACTGTAAAATTCAAGATTAGCATGGGTCATGGGAAAACAAGCAGAGGATACATACCAACACGCATGCTGACCCGACCAGCGATAGCCCGTCCACCAATCACAGCGGCTGCGGTGCAAATTCCGTGACCAGCGCTGGCTCCAATCGTCACCCACCAGTAGTCCTGGCCAGCTGCCATGGCGATAGTGGCAATTTGGCTGCGGTCGCCCCATTCGCCGAGGAAGGTCATTACAAAGGTCTGAACCCACGCTGGGCTGAGGAGTAAGGAAAAGAGATTGCTCAATCCGGAGAACGCATTGTTCAAGCGTTTCCGGGGATGGGGAGAAGAGCCACGGGATGAAGACGAGGACAGGCTCTCCGGAGGCGAAGGCATGCGGTTTCCAGAGCCGCGAGTTTTGGTACGGCCTCCAGCGCGACCTGCTTCGAGATTGTGAGGAGTAATCGACGAGCGACGGCGGTTCAGGCGCAGCTGCTCGTGCTCTTTCTCTTCGAGCTCCGCCTCAACCTCTCGCATCTCTTCACCCACACCCTCATCTGGAGACATTTCACGACCTTCCTTGAGCATCTTCACACCAAAAACCAAGAACAAGATGGCAGCCATAAATTTGGTGAATCCTTTCGGGATAAGAGTAGGGACTGCATGGCCCAGGACGGCTGAAAGAACAGTCATCATAATCAAGGCACTAAATGCTGCGCTGAACACCACCAAGCGGGGATGTCTCATGGCCATCAGCGCAGCGACAAGGAAAGTCTTGTCGCCGATTTCAGAGACGAGAATCATGGTGAAGGAGAATACAAGGGAGTGTAGTGAGCTGCTAGCATCGGGGATACCTGAGTCATGGTGATGGTCGTGGCTCGAGGAGGAGGAGGATGAACTCGAAGACGACTCTGAGGCGGCTGAGTCGTGCCCAAGGCCCAGAGGATCATCTTTGACCACGGCCGGGGGCTTGGGGTGTGGAATATCGTGCGGCTTTTCAGGAAGGTCGGCGGGTTTCTAGTTGCACATTAACTCTGCTTGTTCAACGAAGAACCTTGGACTCGAGAAAGTAGATAGAAAAACTCACACCTATCATACCAAGACTTCCCGGGCGCTCCGCAGACCGGCTTCCACTCCCGGTTGTTGTGTCATCGCTATCAGAGCCCAGCTTCTTGGTTTCACTATGCGGCAGCGGAGGGGCTTCCTTTGGCCCTCCGGGAACTTTTTCGGAGGCCAGTTGGCCCTCCTTTCCTTTCTCAGACACACCACCCCCCATTCCCCGTGTTCCCTCTTTTGGGCCCGCCCGATGCGGATCATCCATAACGCCGCCGTTTGAATGCGGGATCATCCTTCCTTCTTCGGTGCTCAGGTGTTCCGAGGAGGGGATCTTGGAGTCATATTTGGTAGAAACCTGATCATTATCCTCGCTTCCCTTGACGCCTTTGCGGTCCCGGTCAGCATTGGTTTCCACCCACGGACCAGCGTGCGGTCTGCCATCCTTGCCATCCACGGGGACGTCCGGCGCCCCTTTGGCGACATTGGATGCGACTATATCCGAGTCAACGAGGCGAGCGTTGTTTCCAGCAGTCTCACGCGAGACTCGAGGGTCTATATTGTCATTGTATGTTCTGTCGGCGAGCACGGCCGAAATTGCGGGAAGAAGGAAGAGAAGGAGGGACGAGTGGTTGATCTTCATGATGAACAGCGGTATCTTCCGCAGAGAGAGCGAATGGGAATTGAAATTGGCACTTTAATTGGAGAGTTGATAATCTTTCACAGCCACGAGGAGAAAAAGAGGTGGAACCAAAATCCAAAGTCGGAGAAATCTTCGAGTGATGCCACGACACCTAGTCGCGTGAGAGAGGTCAACACCTTCAAGTGTGGGGATAGATTCAGAATGAGCGTGAAGTATTAAAAAGGAGTAGTAGTATTAAGATGAAGTATAAGCAAATAACAGAAGGCTTCAAATCAAAGAAAGAGCACTCGCCTTCGCCATCATGAACTGCCAAAGGGGCTCTCACGTGACCGTCTGCGAACGGCCCCGGCAACAGAAGAAGGCTCGATTTGTTTCACCCTTGGACGCAATAGGCAATTGGTAATATGCATCATCTGAGTGGAGAATTGTATGTTGAGTCGTCCAGTTGTTACGAAGTACAAAGTAGTAAGTTCAATGCATGCCATACAAATCATGAGTTCCCACATACCGTGATTCTTGCCTTGGTTTTGGTTGGGATTAAAAGGACATTTTGTTGAACAAAAAGGGTACTGTCCCAAGTCAATGCTATTAACTGACATTGATTAGAACCAGTGTTAGGAAACAAATGTTCTTTTGTTACTGAAGTCGGTGCTGAACTATTTATATCCCCTACGGCCCCCGGGGCCTGGAGATAGCGGAATATATATCCGCTCACCTCCAAAGCTAATAACCAACCTTCTAGATGTTTCAGAAAGAAGGTAGAATCTTGGTGCTAACAGATCTTGAAACTGCTAAGATCTGATTGGCTCAATTCCTCGTTCAGCACTATCATTTGTTGTTTCTGGCCTACTAGCGACTTTGAGCATATGGACAGCCCTGGAGAGCGATGGCCAAACATATAAGATTCATAGCTTGAGACACCCGCAGTATCTCCTGGCCTGGCAGCAACCATTACGAATTATGATACTCGTGAATTGTGCTACCTACAACTCCCGACGCTACAAACGTCGATGCTCCGGTATCCCGGTCGTAGCTTTCAATGTCGCGGCCAAACGTTTTCTTCCGCCGCCTGGAAGGTCTACCACAAATGAAGGCGCCATGAGCCTGGCAATAGTACCACAGGTATAGGATTCAATATGAAGAATATTGCGCAGTGGTGTACGCAGGTCCTCGAGACCCTGGACCATATCGCTCTGATATATAGTACTACTATCGGGTTAGAAGGAAGTCAACAATTGAGCGCACAACGATACCGGTTGAATTTTGCTACCGGCAAATCGACGAACCAGCGATCTCATCATGTCTATATCACTATTCACTCCGTTGAGCAATACCGTCTGATTTCTCACTATCACCGCATTCTCAAACAAAATCCCATGCCGCCCATTCCGTGATCAACGAGATCTCCTATGGATGGTTGAAGTGCATTTGTAGTGCTACGCTCTTCCCTCGTTTCCCCCGCAGCTCACTGATCTCAATCAGTATCTCCGCCCATTTATCACTGGGATCCAAGATCTGCGAGGGACAAACCAACAGCCCTTTGCTGGCGAACCGGATACGTCGCACATTTTCAATGTGCCCGATCTTAAGCAGCTGCGCGGGCTCGAAGAAGAACAAATTATTGTGTTTGGGTAATGGTAAGGGTAAGACAAAGAAAGGTATATCCTCTCACCGGTCTACTAAGGGGAGCCTATATGGCACTGACATGTGTTAGATGGTGTTCGAACACATGGGCATCCCAACTGCTCCGTTTGCCATTGTCCCTCCATCATGGTCCATTGACAAGGGTATCTCCCAGATGTTAGACTCAGGTCGCCATGCCGCGGATCTGAAACAGATGCATTTTCTCAAGCCCGCATGTGAAGGATCCTCCAAAAGGGTTTGCTCTTTCTCCAAAGTTGAGAGCATCGATGACCTCGAGCCGGGTGTTCGGAATCTCTAGATAAGGTTCCCAGGACAAAGCATTTTGATCAAGAATTGTCTAGCCTGGCGGAATAGATATAATTGGCATCGTGGGATCCGGGGACTCCGCTCAAGTTATCGGCACAATCTACTACAACTGGGAAGGGGCTGCACCGCAATCAGGGA